TGCTGAACAGTATTGTGAAACAATTCGTGATCATATACGAAAAGGATACGTTTCTCTGGTTGACTCGCATAGTGAACCGTCGTGGTATCTTCCGCATTTTGCAGTCGTTAGAAATGACAAATCGACGACGAAAGTGAGAATTGTAATGGACGCTGCAGCGCCAACTAACAATGTCGCTTTGAATGACTGTATTAACGCTGGACCAAAACTTCAGCGTGAACTTTTTGACGTTCTCCTCCGCTTCCGTAGCAAGCCAGTCGCCATTGCCTCTGACATAAGTGAGATGTTTTTGAGAATTGGGCTTCGCAAAGAGGACCACCAATATCACAGATTCTTGTGGCGAGATTTGGACAATTATAAACCTGTTAAAATTTATGAATACAATAGACTAGTCTTTGGGAATACATCGTCACCATACTTGTCCCAAGCAGTGCTTCGAGAACATTGCAATCGAAATAGTCATGTATACCCAAATGGTACTAACTCGGTTTTGAATTCCATGTACGTGGACGACCTTCTGGATAGTGTCGAGTCCATCTCGGAAGCTATTCAATTGCGCCACGAGGTAACCGGTTTATTAGATAGTGCGGGTTTCAAGATTCGCAAATGGCTGTCCAACAAGACAGAAGTGTTGGCAGACATTCCTGTTTCGGATCGTGTAAATCGCCTCTCATTGGACGATAATAATTTACCATCCGTAAAAACTCTAGGTGTTTTATGGAAGGCAGAAACAGACACTTTCACTTTTGAAATCACGGAACCATCGGACATAGTTCTTACTAAGAGAGTGGTTGTGAGTAGAACAGCCACTCTTTTCGACCCACTTAACCTAGTCGCTCCGTTCACCATACGCGCAAAATTAGGTATACAAAAGACATGGGTACGTGGATTAGACTGGGATGACGAGTTACCCGGTGATCTTGCCTTTAATTGGACTAATTGGTTCAAAGAACTTTCTTTATTAGCAAATGTCGAAGTATCGAGGTGTTTAGTAAACGACGGATCGCGCATTGTAAACAAGACTATACATGTATTCGTCGATGCTTCAGAAAAGGCATTCGCAGCTTGTTGTTACCTTAGGAGCGAGTATGAAGATGGCTCAGTCACTTCTAATTTAATAGTTGCAAAAACGAGGGTAGCTCCTTTAAAAACAATTTCTATTCCAAAGTTAGAACTATGTGGAGCAATTTTAGGAGTTCGCTTAAGCTTAACTGTTCGTGAAGTATTAAATATTTCGATGAAATTAGTAACTTTTTGGTGCGATTCACAGAACGTGTTATATTGGATAAAGGGTGAATCAAGGAATTACAAACCGTTTGTTGGACATCGTGTGGGTGAGATTCACCAACTAACTGAACCTAGTCAATGGCGTTTTGTACCGACAAATTTAAACAGTGCTGATTTAGCTACGCGCGGCATGACCGCAGCCGACTTAGCCCACAGTGACGCATGGTGGTATGGCCCATCGTTTCTTTCGCAAGAATCGTCACATTGGCCAAAAATCGAGATACCAGCTTCAGTTGATACAGCTTTGACTGAAGTTCGATCTAATGTCTCGGATACTTTTCTAACTTTTCCACGCATAGAAGACTTCGGAAGATTAGCACCGTCACGTTTTTCTAAGTGGTCTAAACTTTTAAGAATAACTTCGTGGGTGCTTCGGTTTGTAAACAATTCAAGAAACTCTAATTCGCGCATCCTATCAAAAACTCTAAGTTCTGAAGAAATTGATCACTCTAGAAGATTTTGGTATAAATTTGCTCAAGCTACTGCATTTAGTGATGAGATTAACGCAATTTTTAAGGGAGAGTCTATTCCTAAGAGTTCAAAACTGTTAACAGTACATCCCTGTTTAGATAACAATGGAGTACTTCGCGTCGATGGAAGAATCGGCAAGTCAGAACATTTATCGTATGATGCGAAATTCCCCGTTATATTGCCGGGAGATAGCTATGTATCGCGTCTTATCGTATCGGCTTGTCACGAGGATGGCAACCACGACATCGGTGTTTCACACACATTGTCGCTTTTACGGACTGCATTTTGGATTATTCGTGCTCGTTGTCTCGTAAAATCTGTCAAGTCCGCTTGTAATGAGTGCGTCAGACGTCGCAAGAAGCCTGCCGAACAAGTTATGGCACCTTTGCCTGCATATCGTCTTGGATCTCCACTACGTGCGTTCGCAAGGGTTGGTGTTGACTATGCGGGACCTTTCTATACCAAGCACGGTAGGGGTAAAACTAGATTCAAGAGATACTTGTGTTTATTTACGTGTTTATCTAGCCGCGCTTGTCATTTGGAGATGGCGTGGAGTATGGACACAGAATCGTTTTTGTGCGCGTTTTCCCGGTTTACAAATCGCCGAGGCAAACCTTTAACCGTATTGTCAGATAATGGGTCGAACTTTATTAGTGCAGAACGAGAATTAAGCGATTTGTTACGCGCCTTAGACCAAACTCGAATTGGTACTTCAATGGCGAACAATGCTATCGAATGGAAGTTTAATCCTCCGTTATCGCCACATTTCGGTGGAGTCTTCGAAGCCATGATAAAGTCTGCGAAACGGGCTATCAAAGCCATAACTCGTGATGCTGACGTAAGCGACGAAGAACTAATCACAGCTTTTACAAAAGCTGAAGGTCTGATAAATTCTAGACCACTGTGTTACCAGGGTGATGACGCGTTAGATGACCCTGTATTGACCCCAAATCATTTTATATACGGACAAGTTAGTGGTCAATTGGCACCGGAGTCGGTTGACAGTTGTCGTTTCAATCCACGAAAACGATGGCGCAGAGTTCAGGAATTGGTAAAACATTTCTGGCAGCGTTGGTTACGCGAATTATTACCAATGCTCAATTCTCGTAAAAAATGGAATCGTACTCATAGAGATTTCCAGGAAGGAGATATCGCGATAGTTGTGGATCCCCAATCGCCGCGTGGAAAATGGCCTTTAGGTCGAATAATCAAAGTGTATGAAGGTGTCGATAATCACGTTCGCGTTGTGGATGTGAAAATTGGAGAAAAAATCTACAGGCGATCTATAAGTCATTTGTGTCCATTAGATGTGTAATATTATAGTGTAAACCTGTGTTTTTAGAAAATATGTATCCATAGTGTGCGTTTTATGGAGTTTATAGTGTGCGTTTTATAGAGTCCATAGTGTGCGTTTTATGGAATAAAATATAAAATAAAAAAAAATGTATATCGTGTTCATTCGTGTATATTGTGTTCAATCGGTAAATTCGTGAAATTTTAGTGAAATGCATCGAAACATCGTTCATTGTTTAAAAACTGTTCGAGACTTGACATTAACTATAGAACTTTTGTGATTATTTTGTTCATAATATGTAGGTTATCTGTTTTTTCGCTTTTGATGTTAGTCACACCAAGGAGGGGGATATGTTTAAAATGATATTACGTGGTCGATATGGTATTAGAGCGCAGCCATTCGAGATCACATTTTTCGATCAGGTGTCAAACACAGCATATATCCCATCGTACCTCTGAGGGTGAAGAGCTTCGAGAGAGAAAGAACGGATAGCACGCTTCCACATTTCATCGTCCATCGATATAATTGTAATGTATGTCATCGAATAAAAAACATCGTTTTTTAGAATGGGCCTTCGTTTTTAACATCGTCCGCAACAACTGTGGCTGGAGTAAGACGTAAGACATCAGTAGTGGAACCATTTCTACATGCTAAATGTGATTGTTAGTACAATCAGGGGCCATAAACCAGGAAGTGGCGGTCCTATATGCTCAAATATCGACAGCTTTTAAACATACATTGTAAGTTTCATCAAAGTCGGATAAACATTGTGATCTCTAGAGTGTCCACAACCTTGTATATTTGTCAGGGTCAGCATCACAGGAACCACCATCGACTGTGTTTTCATGAAAAGAAATAAAATTTTACTTCATCACTGAGTAATTATATTAGCCAGAAATCGTCCAACAAGCGTCTCCGACGATCTAGACCCCGAGAGCTTCCGGAGGGGGGGAGGGTAGATTTTCTGCAATATTCGGCTATGCACTGGTTAATTGGGCATAATAAATTTCGTGAGTCATCACGTAACATTACGTAAACATATCTGGAGCCCCGTTTTAACTCGAATGATATTGTTACGCAGTTGAGTTAGGTATTGGTTGTTAATCGGGCTATTGACCAGTCATAATTTGGAACAGAAATTTGCTTTCGTTACAGCAGTGTTTGAGTGGGATTAGGTCTAATCAAACGAAACACTGCGAGAAGTATGCTGGGATGCTGACATGTTCCTTCTCCGGAATATAGTGTATTTCGCAAGCAATTAATGTGACAAGATAAGATTTAATGTACCATTACATACAAAGTTTACAGTTTTACGCAATAGTAAATCATCAAACTGTGTTTCAGAAAAATTTGATTGGTTAGCAGGCAAATCTGGTGGTCTTTTGTAAAGACGCCTATAAATATACTAAGCAACCTGGCAATAATTTTGTTCGAGAGGTGAGGTGGGGTCTACCGTATAAGCCAGACGTTTGCTGTTAGATGCCCCGAGTCCTCGTGTTGCACTTCCAAGAGTGAACTATTGTGCTAGTTATAGAGATCTCATTTGATATTCACATGTTATTTGTTATTATAGTATAGCATATCAGTATTCCATCTGATAATTGCTCACCCAATTTCCTACGGATATTAAGGGATTAAACTAGTATGGATATAATAACGGTTGATTACATCTTCTATTAAATTATCTCTGCTTGAAAAGTCACCGACGAAAGTTCATGTCAAACTGATTTAAAATGCCATCGTGGCTCTTGTACAACCAATAAACAAATCAATTACCAAGATAGCTTTGCATAGGTTTATTTTTTAAAACAATAAACGGAAATCGGTTAGGTAGTGTTTTTACATATTTATTTCATGTATGTATGACTGTTTCCCGGCAACATCCGTTCTCTCTTTAAACTCTTCTATAAATTCAATGGATCATTATCATAATACAAGACAGGGAAAACGAGTCTACTTTCCTATTAAATACGGACATCATATCAAAATTTGCCAAATATAATTTACTACTTGAGCAAGTGGCACTAAACTAGCTTCAAATCGAAAAGTGGTCTATTTTACAAAGATGAAGGCATTGAGTGTATTCGGATTTATCTGCATTTTGGGTGAGTAAATTTAAAGGAGCTAAATCGCTAATATTTTGGGCCTAGAAATTGGCACAAATGGGTCGCAACACATAATAATGTAATATGAATTTATATAAACTGTTTTACATTCAATCGTTTCCGTTTTACTGTGAATAGTCATCAGTTATGTTCGGCGAAATACGCTAGAAGTCTCAACCGAAAGACAGTTTCTAGCGTCTGGTTATTCCAGTCAACACCGATAGTAGCCTATATATTGCGCATGCTCTCCAAATAAGAATATGGCATCACCGTTTGACATGACTTGTGGAATATGTCTAGCCCCATTCTTTGAGCACCTTGTTACAAATGGCACTGAAACGCATTATGGTAGGCCTACACGATTCGTGTACCAATGGTAAAATGTTTATTTTGTCTTAAATATTGGATATCAGAAGCCCATCTTTTCCAGGTAAGACCACAACACCAATGCTGATTTAAATTGCAAAAAAATTCGTGTTTTCAATGTCGACGATTTTGGATGATCTTGAGTTACGGACTTATAGCTACTTTAAATGTTAACGTATTAATACTTTTTTGATTATTAGTAAAAAGATAGTTTTAAAAAATGGTTTAAAGGGGAAGGCCAACGATTTTCAACAAGGTTTCCACAAATCTTAAATATATATTCATATATAATCCTCTCTGTAAAACAAGTAAAAATGTTTTTATAAGCGAGAAATTAATTTTTATTCAAACCGAAAGTGACGTAGTTGGTTCAACACGCTCACTGGTCTATATAGTAAGCATACAGATTTGGCATAAGTTTACAGCTGTATTTTGTTCACGTGTCGTCCTTTGGCCAAAAATCTGATCAAATGGGCTGTTTATTAGGATATTATAAACACGAATTTATGGGGTTTTTTATAGTTTAGTACACAAAGCCGTTGCGGAAATTCACTCATGGCTAATTGTTTACATCACGTGGTTGTTTGACAGCTTGCAAGTGACATGTATTTCGTCTGCTTCGATGTTTTTGTGCTTGCTGACAGTGTTTTGCAAGATAAACAGACCAAAATTATGGGCACGTGAGACATATAATATAGTGTATTTGGCGCATAATGTCGACGTGAACGACTGTTCCTATTTTTCTTTCATTTCCTCTTCAGAATGACTGGGCTCGAATCTGTACGGCATTACAGTAGACTGCAATAGGAGAGATATCTTATATTCGGATACGTTGGTGTCTGACGTTGACATACTTTAGAAATTTATATATTTATGTGAAGATATAATATGTGCCACAAGTCCGTTGAAATAAATATAAACACTGTCAGCAGACCCAGCACGCACAAAATCATTCAAGCTGACGAAATATCTCTCGTTTGCCGCGTGTAGTGTGAATTGGTCCACAACGTAGTATGAGTGAATGTACACGTCAGATTTGTGTATTAAACGTTAAAAAAACCTAATTCCATATTTATAATATCCAAATAAACAGTCCCTCTGGTCGGATTCTCATACAAACGACGACGCGTGAACAAAATACAGTAGCAAACTTATGCCGAATCTGTATGCTTACTATAGAGAACAGTGAACGTGTTGAACCAACTACATCACTTCCAGTTTTAAAAAAAAATAATTTCTAGCTTACAAAACCCTTTTTGCTTGTGTTACAGAGGAGATTATTTTTCAATATATATATTAAAAATTTTTGGAAACCTTGTTGAAAATCGTTGGTCTTCCCCTTTAACGGTCTAATTTACTGCATCAACCGGGATAATGAAGACGGTCCCAGACATACGAACAAGTATAAAATTGGTTTGCAAGGGCAGTGGTATTTATGGTGGCTTATTTATATTTTTGGAGGGGTGTATCATTAAATTAGCAACGTTAGCAACGGAAGTTATCTAGTAAGGTGATATATAAGTTACGAAAACATTCCAAAAGACATATTCATTCAAATCAAGAAAATAAACATCACTAATTTGAATATCAAAATAATAACCTTAGGCCATGCAGGCTAATTATAGAAACATCCTAGCACTGGTCTGTAGTTGTATTGTTCACGAGCGTACGACAACCTCTTCAAAACCAATCGAAATTAAATATATATAGGCTATATACATGGATTTTAACAAGCCAACAGTGAGGCTGATGTCCCCCGTCGAAAGCCCAAACATAAATAAATGTCACATATTGATTAATTGCACATTTATCTTTTTCAAATGTATTGAGCAATCAAACTGATTATCTATACTTGGTCTAAGCATAAAATGTTCACGATCAAACTCGGTCAAGGTTTTGAAGTACCTGGTAGTGAAACTTTACACTAAGTTTCATCACTCTCTATCAGTTAGAATCAAAGTTATCTTGCCCCAAAGCATCGACCAGTGAAATTACTTAGCCCTGCTTAGCTTTAACGGGAAATGTTAATCATTGAACTCAGTCAAGACATTCGCCTAATGAACATCTACACCATTTTGGAACATTCTACCTCAATTAGAGGGACATTTATTATGTTCCAAAGTCTTGACCATTCAAATTGCTTATCGCTCTGCTTATCCCGAGCAGAAAATGCCCATTATTGAACTTAATCAAGGCATTGATACACCAAGTTTCATCACTCTCGCTTAATTATAACTAAAGTTACCGTATCACCAAGCATCAACCAATCAAATTGCTTCTCTGCTTACTCGGGGCAGAAAATGCTCATCTTCGATTCGAACTCTATCAAAGCATGCACCTAATGAACGCATACACCAAGTTTGAACATTCTACCTCAATTAGAAGTTATTGTGTTCCAAAGTCTCGACCAATCGAATTGCTTATCGCTCCGCTTACTCTGAGCAGAAAAAGCTCATTATTGAACTTAGTCAAGGTATGGATATAATGAAACTATACACCAAGTTTCATCACTCTCAGTAAAGTTATCGAGTCCCAAAGCATCAGCCAATCAAATTTCTTATTTCTGCTTACCCTAAGTAGAAAATGATTATCTTCGAACTCCATCAAGGCATTCACCTAATAAATGAAATGAAATGGGGTTTAACGTCCTACTGTTCTGCTCCTATACTGGGCTAATGAAGACGGGCATACGCCATACAGTCTGCTATGAGGGAAATTTTGCCCGGGCAGCGGCACTATCGCCTACTCTTATATCGAATTCCAACTGCCAAGGGATCTTTTACGTGCATTCCAATGTATACACGGGACCTCGGTTTTTCGTCTCATCCGAAGGACTAGACAGCTGGTCGGACGGACAGACGGCAGAAACTCATTTTAATAGTCCTCTACTTTCTTCGAAAGGCGGGTGAAAAATATTTTAAAGTAATTAAGTCTTTAACTCAATATCATCCACAGTCTTCCACATTGCAAACACGACTTATTGATGAATTTAAATCAACATTGATGTTGTTATCTTAACGTGAAAATAACCAGACGCCAAAGACTGCCATTCAGTTTGGACTCTTCGCGTATTTCGCCGAACATAACTGATTAGAAATTACAGTAAAAACAGAAAAGATTGAATGTAAATCAATTTATATTCATATTACATTATATGCGTTGCTACCTATTTGTGTCCATTTCTAGGTGCCAAAGAATAGGGATTTAGCGGGCGGGGCGGCTATGGAACTAGCTCTGTGTAGGGGGATAATGTATCTTTAAAAACTATAAATTCATTATGTATATTTTAAAAAAATAATTTATTTATTTTCTGTTCAAATGCAGGTTACACCCTAGCCAATTCCTTTACACGCTGTCCTCACGAAGAAGATGGACCGTCTAGAGCTTTCCATGCATGTAATGCTCCTGTTCTTGCAGCTGTAACTAATCGGGAGTTATGCCCGTACGTAATCGTAACAATTTATTGTCAAGATAAGTTTCAGTTTATTTAATAATGTCAAATTTCAAATAATTTTCATCGGGTATTATAAAACGCAAAGCACCCTCCCTAGGCAGGGATATACCATTAATACACAAGGATATGTATAATATATAGTTACATGCCCTGCCATACTTTTATCAGTTTAAGAACAATTTGTTGACTTTTCTTAGAGGAAGCAATGCGATTTTTAGACTGATCATACGTTAGTTCTCATCGATGGTTTAATGGTTTGTGGTGGAGCGTGGATTTGAATCAAGGCCCATAGGAAAAACTCGGAGCTTGAGTTATTTATTATTTAATGAAAAAATCTTCGCCACGCTACACACACATTCTTGGCTGTTGGAATTGGGATTTGTTGGGGTTTTTTATTTTAAGTAAGACACAAAAAAGACTAAAATTATTATTTAAAAAAAAAATTCGGCTCGCACCGAGGTATCTGTCATTCCTTTGGGTACCATGTCAAAATATGCTTAAACAATGTCACATATTGCGTTATTTGGATGTGCTTTGAAAAATCAGTAGAAATTGTCAGTAGGAACTGATTTATTGGGGTTTATATTTAGTATACGCCCACATTTTCATGACATCCGTTCATGTTTTTGTGAACACTGTCACAATTTTTATCCCATTTTCATGAAACTCAAAATATATGTCGTAAAGATCTCGGATAGGTTCGATTTTGGCACGTAGATTATTGCCACTGGTTGTACGAAAATCATCTACACAGCTTATATACACCGTAGAGGTTACATTTTTGATTCGATTTAGATAAATCGAGGGTATGAGCCCTATCGATTTTGCCTATTCTCTACCCGTCTCTTGGCAACGGCCTGTTTATTTTTAATCTGCTGATATCCATTTCCATTTCGAATAATTTGTACTCAAATTGGTTATTCAAAAATGCAAAATTCAAATATCCGGGTTTCATAAGCGTGTTGTAAAACGAGCTTAGTGTATGAAATGTTTGATTGCAATGCCAGCTACAATTTCGTGTCGGTCTTGGGAAGTTGTCGCAACCGCAGTTCTTATTCGGCAAGGGAATTGGCTAGGATAGCCCTGGTCTGATCCCCACAAATTATGTTCCTTACCATGCGGCGATCGAACGAGTGAGCTCGAAAGTTAATTTCTCACAAAAAGAAAAAATGTATAATTTGTTATCTAAATAATATTTGGCACCAGAAACGGTCAAACAATAAAACATGGTAGTAAATAATGTGATCTGGGTTCTTATAAGTCGTGGGGTGACACCTGTCGTGTTGACATAGAACGTGTGACTAGTCATTCGGGTGGGACGAAAACAAAATCGAGATCACATGTACATACTGGTAGTTCACTTTAACAAGAGCATCGCTACCGCTGCAATATACGTCTACATTCCTGCTTTGGTTGATATGGTACTTTTTAAAATGAAGAGCATGAAATATGAAATGGCTGCAATGACTATAATATGGCAAGAGGCAAAGAAAGCTGGGCGTTGGTTTGTTTTGTCAAATTTACAGACTAAATATTAACAAAAAAGCGGGTGTGACACCGAACCGGGGGATCGGGGCATGCACCAAAATCAATAGTTGATGTCTTTGCGGTATAAGGAATAAATATGCAAAGTTCCATTCAGAAATGCAGTCTGTAGACGATAAACACAAAAAATTGTCGTGGCTCTGTCCCTGGAGATTGGATATGGAACAATATAAATAAAAAGTGAAAAAGTGGGTGTGGCATCGCCCCGGGGATGGGGGTGGGGTGTCATGCACCAAAATCAATAGTTGTCGTACTTCGGATAAGGAATAAGTATACCAAGTTCCATGATAATCCATTCAGAATTTTGGCCTTCAGACGCTTAACACAAAAATAGGCGTGGTTGTGCCCCTGGGGTCGACACATACACCGAAATCAATAGTTGCCGCCTTTAGGCTATAACGCATTGAAGATGATCCATTCAGAACTGCGACGAGTATACGATAAACAAAAAAATTGGGCGTGGCCCTGCCCCTAGGAGTTGGGACATGCATCAAAATCAAGTTCTAAGACAATGCATTAACAATTGTGGCCTGTAGGCAACACAGAGACACACAAAAAAGATGGCTGTGGCTCAGCCCCTGGGGGTAGGGCATTCACCAAAACAATAGAGATCATCATTAGGGTATAAGAATGGGTATGCAAAGTTTCAAAACGTTCTGTTAAGAATTGCGACCTGAAGGCGGCACAAAGACACACACTAAAAATGGGCGTGGCTCTGTCTCAGGGGGTCGGGCATGTACCAAAAATAATAGCGGTCATACTTAGGGCATGCTCCAAAAATAATAGCGGTCATCGTTAGGGAATAAGTATGAAAATTTTTCAAGACGATCCATTAAAAATTGCGGCCTGGGGATTGGATATGCACCACAAACATTGGGGTGATCCTCAGGGTATACGGAATAAGTATGCAAAGTTTCAAGATGATCCTTTAAGAAATGAATCCTGTAGATGACAAACAAATACAAATAATGTGCGTGGCTCTGTCCCTAGGGGTCGGGCATGTCCCAAAAACAATACGTATCATCCTCCGGGTACAAGGAATAAGAATACAAAGTTTCAAGACAATCCATTAAGAATTGCACCCTGTCGCCGACCCACAGACACCCACAAACACACATAGACATGGGCGACGGTATAATTATAATACGTCCACATTATGAATGTGGACGTTTAAAATACAGTATGTCGTTCTTACCAGAAACTGAAAGTGTTAACACAACATTACACATGAATGCATTCCGCCATATTTCAGCATAAGCTGAGCTGGATACAGATGTAAAATTATTAACGGAAAACAGTCATTCTACTTAATAAATTAAACCACAGAACCACAGAATACTATCAAATTAATTCCACGATATGAACATTTATGGTGTAACGTCTTTCAATTCCTTGTATCCCCTTTTAATATAAATTTCATTCACTGTTAATTTTTTAGAGCGATGACTTCCGCCATTAGTTGTGTTGAACAGCTAGCAATTCACTGTCCCAGTTTCATGGAGGCCATCGGAATTCAAGAACTTCGCGGATTAGAAGGATTGGCTCGAACTTACTGCAAGTTTTAAGGTGACTATGCAAAATTTTCAATCTTTATAAATCAACAGTACCATAAAAACTAAAAATGTGGATGTTTAAAATTTCACTTTTGTAGAAATAATTATTCTACAAAATTCATGGGGGCTTGCGTCTTGGTTTGTGTGAGCCCTCGTACTATCTCTCTAAAAAGCATATTCCTGAAGCAACGACCGGGAGTTTTACAGCACATTGATTATGGCGGTGTATTAGATTCAAAATTCTAACATGTTATAGTCTAATTTCTAACTTCTATTCATGTAATTTCTAACAAGACGATGTTTAATCCAACTTCTTTATTTGTTCAGTGTAAATTTTAATTCTGTATCATCTTATTCTAATATTAACACGAAAATGTCCACTTCATTGTCGCTTTACATGTTTAGCATGAACGCCGAACAAATTTAGAATTTTGATACGTACTCTACCCTGCAATCATCATTATGACTCCGTTTGGTGTCACCACCATGTGCCCAATTTGGCGATTGAGCACGTCGGGACCTTCGTCAGGTTGAATGGTTTGGTCATGGACCTTATAATGTATTATAAGGACCATGGTTTGGCGGAGTGTTAAAATTGTAAACAACATCGAACGTGATACGGTTTGCAAATACTATTTCAAATATAAGCTAAACAGCATTACTTTGTTCATTTTTTAAGACAATTTAATATAACCTATTTTATTGTTTTTCGTTTTTTTTTCTTCAGATTCCAGGTGATGGTCAAATGTCAAGAGTTATTAGAGATATTATGAGAACTATACACCTCTCGGTCAACAATGACATTTGATATTAGATAGACGCACAGTATTGGTGTAAAATGTTGTTTTTTTTACAAAATAATTCACAGCTTCTGCTAATTTATCTTGTCTTTGCTTCACAATGACACATTTTATATGCCAACAATAATTACATCAACTTTAGTGCAAAACATTTAATAAATTCACTAACATGCTTTGTGTATTGTTTTGTTTTATAAGCATTTATAAAGGAAAATCTTGATAATCAGTGCAATACTCAGCTAATCCAGTAATGCAGGTAGAAATAACATGGACCCAAACCTGTAAAACTATCAAAAAAAAAAAAAAAAAAAAAAAAATAGGTAGACCCAACCAACGTAAAATAGTCCATGTGACAGACCTCGGATTTTGGAGTATCATTACCAATTTAATGAATAAATTCAGCCATAATTTTCAGGTTTTAGCCTGGTGCCGAAGTGTTCAAATTTGGTTAATGGACTTCCGGGTCACTTTTCTAAATGCCATTTTGGCGGCCATCTTTAAAAATGGCCGCCGTTATTTCATTGCAATTGAGCGCGACAGGGAAACCTTCATAACTCCTCAACAGGTTGACCTATTGATATGGAATATGGATCAAAATGTTCGCAATCAAATTATATGATACATGTTGGTGAATAATCATATATTTTCCAAATCAACAGATTATTCTGAAAAAAGCAACGTTTTTGGCATTTTTTTTTTCAAAATTTATTTTATAAGTTTATTACCAAATCATGTTTAGAGTAAATTTAGCCAAATTATGTATGTGGTCTTCTTAAGTTGTTCATTTGGCATAAATAAATACTCCCAGTGACCCTTTCTGTACAGATGCGGTGGCCGCAAACTCTTGAGTAGACTGTCAATTTAAAAAAAAAGTTGAACGTCGGCGAGGTAGGGTACCAACTTAGTGAACGTTTAGCTAGGTTTGTCACAATCGGAACGATATTTGAAGACCGGTTGTTTTTTTTGGCAAAATTTGTCACTGAAGACGATTTTGATACGTAACGTCATTTTACTGTTTGATATGCCTTGTAAAAATATAAGATACCATTTAAAGGGTTTTCGGTGACACTGAACTTAAATATACTATTCAAAAAAAGTAGGGGATATTTGATTTTTAAGTGTTATTAAAGTCACCTAATGAAACTGACGAAGAAACAAATGACAAAATGAAATGAAGTTCACATTCATCGATTTATTCCAAATGATCGTTAGACTAAGTTAGGCACAGACTGACCATTATAAGGGTAAAATGATACCCGGGGTCAAACAGCAAAGTTACCACAGCATCACAACCAAGTCAGTAACGGGTAAATCCTCCTCTGTTTGCCAAACAAGCATTGATCCGACGTGGCATACTCCTAATGAGACGTCTAAGGTCATTTTGGTCCAGATTGTCCCATTCCTGTTGCAACGCAGCAGCAAGTTCTTGGACATTGGCAGGACGTTGTTGACGTTGACGTAACCTCTGTCCAAGCATGTCCCAGACATGCTCGATGGGGGAGAGGTCGGGACTCGGTGCTGGCCAAGGTAATGTGGTGATGTTCTGTTGTTGGAGGTAATCTGTAACGATCCTGGCCCTGTGACATCTTGCGTTGTCATCCTGGAAGATGAAACGGCGGCCATGACGTCGTGCGAACGGCAGAACATGGACTGCCAAGATGTTGTCCCGGTAGTACTGGCCTGTAACACGCCCTGCAACAACATGTAAAGCCGTTCTTCCAGCAACAGTGATGCCTCCCCACACCATAACAGAACCACCCCCAAATCGATCATGTCTAATGACGTTAACGTCTTGGAAGCGCTCGTTTCGACGACGCCACACCCTCCTACGTCTGTCCAAAAAATCAACAGTGAACCTTGACTCATCTGAAAACATCACATTGCTCCAGCGTCGATTATCCCAGTGTTGACGATCCCTACACCAACGACGTCTTGCCTGAATGTGATGATCTCTCAAACAAGGGATCACGCGAGGACGTCGGGCGCGAAGGTGACCCCTATGCAGTCGATTCCGAATCGTCTGGCCACTCACTCTCACACCAGTGTCTGTTTGAAGACGAGCGCTGATCTGAATTGCTGTGATGACACGATTTCTCAAGGCCAAGGTACGGATAAATCGATCCTGGGCTTGAGTTGTCGCCCTTGGTCGACCTGAGCGTGGTCTGTCCTGTACAGATTGTGTATCACGGTATCTGGACCATAGCCTGCTTATGACAGACTGAGAAACATTCATCGTCCGCGCCACAACCGCCTGTGTTGTGCCGATCTGTAGCATGCCAAGGGCACGTAACCTTTCATTTTGGGTAAGCCGACGCATATCAAAATTTGTTTTCTGGTCACTAAAACAATTAAAATGATTTTTCCACCCTGGAATTCAATGCCACAATGACTGTAACATTCAAAGTCAGAGTCGTGCAAATCTTGAGTTGGACCCCCATGATGATCCGAAGCATCACCTGCATTCCATGCGGTAACTATTGGTGCGTTTCGGTGTCACATGTTACTGGAAATGTTTCTTCTGTTAGGTTCTATAGTGACTTTTTTCGTAGTCATTTGCATATTTTAGTATTATGCCCCCAAAATCAAATATTCCCTACTTTTTTTGAATAGTATACAACATCTAAAAAAAGAGTTTCCGAAATCCAAGTTGGCTAAAATCCAAAATGACGGCAAGATTTTCCCTAAAATGAACGATTTTTCAGATAATCATCATTTTTCTGTTTTGTATGGCTTGTAATATTTCCTTTATGAGGATTTCAGGTTCACTGAACTTAAATATTATCTCAAAAATAGATTTTGGATATCGTAGATGATTTTTTTAGAACAAAACGGGACAATCGTCAGTCTTTCTCTTGGCTTGGCTTATTATAAAAAAAGTAGAGTAGTTTTTTTAGAGGAGGATGGAATTAATTATACTAGATCTCACAGATCAGAAATCAAGATTGAATATTATTCCAGTAAAACGGTGTGGAATTTTAATATACCTTTGCAAATATATCTAGTTGTTAAGAATTTACCTATTCTGTTTGTTCACAAATGGGCCGAAATGGTGACTCAGTGAGTAAGGCTCAACGAGGTCCGGAATTCGATCCCTATGTTTGCCGAGAAAGTACCTCAGAATTTTCCAACGTGGTTTCCCCTTGACATCCTGCTGCAAGGAGGGCCTCGAAAGAAACTGTCCAGTCTTTCTGATGGCACCAAAAACCAAGTTCCCGTGTACACGTTAGCGTGCTTATAAAAGAACCCCTGGAAGTTGGAATTTGAAATAAGAGTAGGCCGTAACGCCACTGTCTGGGCAAGCTTTTCCTCATAGCACACTGCATGGCGAATAGCCATCTTCATTGATCTAGTTAGAACAGTAGGACGTTAACCCACATTGCATTTCATTTCTGGTCTAGAAATGGTAGCCTAATGTGATAGTAGTCAAATTGCAGAATAACCCTAAAAAAAATGCAAGAGAACGTTTGAATGCATTTTCTTATAGGCCTAGTATTTGGTCCAGAGAACAACATCAAATGTTGTCTGAAATTGAGCTACCGCAAAGGGTCTAAATATGATGTCAAACAAAATGGCCGCCATTGGACCAAAATCCTTTTTTTTCTGCTCATATTCTATCAAAGACTTCAAAGCTGTTGTTTAAGAAGGCTTAGGCGTAAGACAATGCTATTATAAAAGCAATATCTTAGTAATTCATCACTCTGTGAGTGTTGTGCAGTGTTTCCAAGTGACGTCATGGCGTTATAAGGGGTTGTTATGACGTCAAGACGAAAATTGTTCCTTTCTGATGATTTGTTAGCCATATATTTTGAAGTTGTAGATGGATGGATAGCAAAAGTGTAGACATTTGCTGCAATAGGCATGCCGACCACGATTTATGGACGGTCTAGAGTATATTATCATCAAAAAAGTCCCAGTCCGAAATCCGTGCCAAAATGGGTCAAATTGGCCAAAATTCAAAATGGCCGCCGGTTTTGACTGGAAAATGTCAATTTGTATCCAATAATATGATCGAGCTTGGTATCAAAATGTATCCTTTCGGGGTAGCTGAATCCATTTTCATACACATTTTGGTGAATAATTATACCGCGGAGTCAATATTGGGAAATAACTCTAGATGGCGGCCAGTTTTGGCGGGAAAATGCGAATTTTACAAAATGACCACATTTGGTGTCAAAATATACATTTTGGAGACAGCTGATTTCATTTTCTACTCATTTTGGTAATCAACTGGTTCTCCTCGGTCAAAATATTTGGAAATCCCATTGGAGATTTTGGGATTAAGAGAGGTCGAGTCTGCCTCAGATCTAATACTGTTGCATTCATCAAGCATTTACTAAATTTCATTTAGACTCTCTGGCCGACCATTGCTCATTGCGGAAGCAGCGTAGCAGGCAGCTCACTGTGTCCGATTTCGATCACCAACATCGACAGTGGAGCCAAGATGACCAAACCTATTGAAGCACACAGCGAATTTATTTCACAAAATGATTCAAATAATGCGACACAAATGGATCCCGATATACAGTGAACTATTTGATAATGAACTGCCTACCGCCATTCCGAAAATGACGGAAAGATAACGGGTATTGCAGGCCGACAATAATGAGCCGATTAAGATCCCTGACCTAAATTCAATATGTGACAAACGGGCGATACTGTATCCATCTGTTTCTCAAAATTTGAATCAGTTTGTGAATTAAATTAGCAACGTGCTTCAATAGGCATGATCAGCTTCCGCAGTAACCTGGGAGTGTCCCCAGTCGACATACCCATACGCCGCTTCCGCAGTGAGCTGGGCGACACTCCAAATGAAATTTAGTTGATACTCGATGAATGTCATTGTATTAGCTTTAAGGTAGGATTATCATTAACCTCCATTCCCTAATCTGTAATCTAAATCCCTAATTGGAATTTCTCCTATAGAGACACAGGGAATCAATTAATCACCAAAATATGTACAAAAATGGATTCAGCTACCTGGAAAACATATATTTTGACACCAAACTTGATCCTTATGTAAAATTCGGCCTTTCCCGCCAAAACTGTCCGCCATCTTAAATAACCCCCAATATTGACTCGGCGGTAACACTTATCACAAAAGTATTTATGTAAATGGATTCAGTTACCCCAAAAACGTATAATTTGATACCAAAATCGATCATATTATGATAATTGGGTGGAAATTGGAATTTACCAGCCCAAAACGGCGGCCATTTTGAATTTTGTCCAATTTGAACTATTTTGGCACCGATTTCGGACTGGAACATTTTTGGGCTATAATATAGGTCTAGGCCAACTATAAAAGGTCGTCGGCATTTATGCTATCCATCCATCTACAAGCTTAAATGAAATGGCTAACAAACTATCAAAACAACAATTTTCGTCATGACGTCATAATGACCCCTTATAACGACATGACGTCACTTGGAAACACTGCACAACACATTCCGGCGTGGTGTCTAGTCGTTCGGATGGGACGAAAAACCGAGGTCCCGTGTACACATTGGCGTGCACGTAAAAGATCCCTTGACAGTTGGAATTCGAAATAAGATTATGCCTAGTCGTAAATGCATTTCAAATTATCTTCGCAACAATTCTTTTTAAAGATTCAACTTGTGAAATGGATCTGTGGATATCATATTTAGACTATGCTAGGCATATGGATTGGCTGTACTACATACCGAAAAAATTCGAAAAGTACCGAAAAATAATTACAAAAAAGTACCGAAAAATGACAAACAAAATATCGAAAAGTCAGTGAGACATACCAATAAACCTTTTTTTTTTCATACCAATTACCAAAAACATCTGAAAACCCAAAATACCGAAAAAACAACACTATTACCGAAAAAGCCCTAGGCCACCCATAAAAATTGCTAGGTGGGTCAGGCTAGACCACGCATAAAAATTGTGGGGAACTCTAGGTCACGCATGAAAATGGTGGACACTCTAGCAGGGTAATGGGTCACGCTAGATAACGCATAAATATAGTGGGGAACTCTAGGTTGGTCATGGATTACAATAGGCCCCGCATAAGACATGTGGATCACTGTAGGTGGGTCATGGGCCAGGATAGGCCACTTATAAAAGTGCTTCGTGGGTTATGTTTTTTCAGACGGCAATTTCTCCATTTAGCACAGCATTTTGTTTATGAACTAGTTATAAAACATTCCAATGCAAGTTGTAAGCATTCTTCGACGGCTTTTGATCTTTTAGTTTTTGGTGTTCAGCATTCAACCAGCTTTTCCACATTAACCTGACATGATTAACCTGACATGCGCCTTGCAGTGTGCTATGAAGTAATAACACATCTTTTGCCCTGGAGAGTCATTTCCACCTACCGGTACTCTTCATCAAATTCCAACAGCCTAGGTCCTAGGGTTCATTTATAAGCACCAAGTCTAGTGTTAATACTGTCAGTATAATATTCATTTATTAGCGCCTTAAAGGGTTTTAATACCGTCAAAGGCCTGTGCACAATACCATAAAGGAATAAACATTGTAATAGATATAATAATTATTTTAATATCTATGAAATCTAGATTTATTTACATTGTGGAATTCTGTTTCATTCATAATTTTTAACTTAAATATCTATATAAATAAGGCCACTTTTTTAGGGTAAAATGTGCATCATGAGTTTTCTCATGAATAGGAAAATATAGAGTCAATAAGCGTAATAAGCCCCTTTCAAAATAAATAATGTAATCACAAATTGTAAATACTACCAGCTGGTATTTAGCTGTTAAAGAAATTAACCTGGTCTGACTCTAAAGAATAAATTGCACACCCCAAAATGGGCATAATCTCCCCCTGCGCTCTCCCAATACTTCTTAATTTTACATAAATGGTTACTCATAAAGGTACTTTCCTTCAATGTGTCTACATTTATATTTAATGTAGCACATAGCCGATTATGACTCACACTAGTATTAGTATTATAGGTTGTTTGGGAAATATTCGCTTATTGTGTGTTCATTTTGAGTGAAATCTGTATCACTGCCGGCCCGGGACAGTACAGTGTAGTGGACGCTTACAGCTACCCCCCGGATCTATTCACTTGGATCTGATGTGTATGTTTGTTGTTTGTGATGTCTGTAATTTGTGTAGATTTGTCTTGTATATTTCTTTGTGTGTGGTGCAGTCCCCCTGCACTTACTATTAACAACTACACACAAAAATCTTGTAAATATGACACAGATGAAATCTTGTAATATAAACAAGGGGTTGCCATGCAAGATACGCCCAAATTTTGCAAGAGATGGACAGAGAAAAAGCTAACAATGTGTGAATATAGAAAGGGAGAGGGATCTTTGGGTTATAAACATACAGTTCAAATTTCATCAAAATAGGATAACCAGCGGCTGCCAGGCAGGATATGCCCACATTTTGCAAGAGATGGATAGAGAACATGCTAAAAACAAAAATGATTTTATGTACAATCAGGGGCCATAATCCAGAAAGTTATGGTCTGAAATGCACAAATATCAAAAGGGACTAAGATTTTTGGAATATAAAGATATATTTTAAGTTTCATCAAAATTGGATAAAAATTGTGACCTCTAGAAGGTCCATAACCTTTGAATTACATACTTATATACAATTTGCATACAAAGAGCGGCCATTTTGTTGGGCAGTTTCATTTCGACTTTCCCGAAATTCCAATTCAACCTTAATTTCGTACAATCAGGGGCCATAATTATAAAAAGTTACGATCCAATATGTGCGAATATCGACAGGAACCAGGATCTTTGGGTTAGAAACATGCGTTTCAAGTTTCATCAAAATCGGATCAAAATTGTGACCTCTAGAGTGTCCACAAGCTAAAAACGCGATTTTTGGTACAATCAGGGGCCATAATCCATGAAGTTACAGTCCGATACATACCAATATCGAAAGGATCCGAGATCTTAGTTGGATAAAGCTATATTTCAAGTTTTGTTGAAATCGGATAAAAATTGTGACCTGTAGAGTGTCCACAAACAAATTGTGGACGGACGGACGGACGGACTGACACAGGGGCGACGACAATATACGTCCACATGAAAATGTGGGCGTATAAAAAATGACTCTACACAAGCGTATATAATAAAACAATAAACAACTATAATACAATAATATACTAATAACAATTGTATAATATAATATATTAATATCTAAAATATTATAGAAGAGATCTATTAACAAAAAAAAAGTATATTTTACTTGATTCTACTTTTTGGGAGTTTAAAAATAACTTTTGTTTTTTGCATATTAGATATATACACTGACAGAAAGTATAATAAAGATAAATTATAGGAACATAAAACCTTGTTACTACATCTAATATCAATCCTGTTGATAAAATGTTAGCCAAAATGACATACATGTACGTACACTGATTAAAGATGCAAGATTTAGATAAACAGCTGACCGTTCTTGATATAATAGTTAAAAAATATATAATGAATATTATGGAAATTACTTTATTCCGAATGTTATGGATGATCGAAGTTTTGAAAAGAAACAGGTTAAATTATAGTCTTGATATTCAAGTGCCACTACTATGATAATCAAGTACCATTTTAAATTTTAACGAAGATATGCCAGACATTCTCTCATTCGCTTAATATCTCAGTCATCCGATGTTCTAGAGAGTTGATTATGGGCTTGACATGTGAATAAATGTCTAAATAATAGTTTATATATAACATTTGAAGCCAGCAAAAACATGCCATAGATAATAGACAGATTTAGCTCTTTTTCTGTAATGCATCTTTAACATTGAGCATTGATAATATATACAATCCTTCTACATGATCAGAAACCTATGAGATTGTACCAGGATGAATTTTTCTGATGATATTTTGTTTATGCTTTTAAAACCAAGTTAGAATGATCATGTCTGGTATTACTATCTAGAGTGATGATGACATGTTTAATGGTTGACGCACCCTTATAATAGATGTTATCAATAAAATTATAAGGCTATGAGAAATAGTTTATCTAATATTCTCTACGACTGTCTGGTCTTGCTGATAATGCTCGTTCGTAAATAACTTTATCATAGGCTGGATAATGTTTCTGATATTCTGTTTCCCAATCTTCAGTTTCTTTTTTCATCAGTTGTATGATTGCTTTCTTTTTCCTATCATTTAACCAAACATATTTACTATGTTTTTCTTCGCGTTTCTTTGCCTCTTCTTGTCTCAGTTGTTTAGCTCTCATGGCTGAAGCGTAAACCTGAAACATGAAATGTAACTCAATAAATAACTGTCCATTATGTTATATTTATAGTAAACTGATCTGTCTTACTAAACGCAATTCATTCATGACATGGCTCATGTTGGAGTCATTTTCATGTCATCTGCTGCTCATTCCCAACACTTCCTAAGAGCTTTTAAAACAAATAAATAGGCATCTTTAACAGAAATAAACAAGCCAACAGTGAGGTTTATGTCCCTCGCCGAAATTCCAAAATAAATAGATGACACATTAATTAATCGCACATTTATTTTTTTCAAAAGTATCGAGCAATCAAACTATACACTAAGTTTCATCACTCTCTAACAGATAGAATCAAGATTATCTTCTCCCAAAGCATCGACCAATGAAATTGATTAGATCTGCTTAGCTTCTGCTCAAAATGTTAATCATTGAACTCGGTCAAGACATTCAGCTAATGAACATCTACATCAAGTTTAAACATTCTACCTCAATTAAAAGCAGAGTTGTTATCGCTCCTTAGCCTAAGCAGAAAATTCTCACCATCGAACTTAGTCAAGGTAATGAATCTATACACCAAATTTCATCACTCTCACTTAATTAGAACTAAAGTTATCGTGTCCCAAAGCATCAACCAATCAAATTGAATATGTCTGCTTACCCTAAGCAGAAAATGATCATCTTCGTACTCCATCAATGTATTAATCTACATCGCTCTCACTTCATTATAACCAAAGTTATCGTGCCCCAAAGTATCAACCAATCAGATTGTTTATCTCTGCTTACCGTAAGCAGACAATGTTCATCATTGAACTCCATCAAGGCATTCACCTAATGAACACCTACACTAAGTTTGAACATTCTAACTCTATTAGGAGGAGAGTTATTGTGTTCCAAGGTCTTGACCAATCAAATTGCTTATCGCTCTGCTTACCCTGAGCAGAAAATGTTCATTATCGAACTTAGTCAAGGTATTGATGTAATAAAGCTATACACCAAGTGTCCTCACTCTCGCTTAATTATAATTAAAGTTGTTGTGTCCCAAAGCATCAACCAATCAAATTGTTTATCTCTGCTTACCCTAAGCAGAAAATTCTCATCTTTGAACTCCATCAAGGCATTCGCCTAATGGACACCTACGCCAAGCATAAACATTCTAACTTAATTAGAATGAGAGTTATTGTGTTCCAAAGTCTCTACCAATCAAATTGCTTATCACTCTGCTTACCCTGAGCAGAAAATGCTCATTATCGAACTTAGTCAAGGTATTGATGTAATAAAGCTATACACCAAGTGTCCTCACTCTCACTTAATTAGAACTAAAGTTATCATGTCCCAAAGCATCAACCAATCAAATGGCTTATCTCTGCTTACCCTTAGCAGGAAATGCTCATCTTCGTACTCCATCAAGGCATTGACCTAATAAACACCTACACCAAGTTTGAACATTCTAGCTCAATTAGAGAGAGAGTTATTGTGACCCAAAAAGTGTGAAGGACAGACGGACGGACAGACAGACGAACCCATTTTAGTAGTCCTCTGTTTTCTTTCAAAGGTAGAGGACAAATATTAATTCAAATAAATACATGTTCCTACATGAAGTATATGTACTTTGTATATAAGTTAACTTTTGAATTTCCAAGAGTCAATTGTGAATTACACATCTATATAAGAATCCCAACAAAAAAAATGGACATAGACACAAGGAACATTGTTATCTTTATTCAGTGTTGGTACATTGTTATAATATATATTATATATATTATAGAAGGTGAGTTGAACAGCCTTAAATGGAATGTCATCACTTAAAATTCCTGTGTCATTGGTATTGTTCAAATAATTCTGTGACCCAACAGGACACATATTTAAAGAAAAAACAACAGACAAGCATAAACAATCTTCTATGTTTGTGATACTGTTATTGCTTTTTATTAATTAACAGATTTAACTATGATTTTCATACGTACATTAGTACCAGCACGGACATTATGCGTCCATAAAATTCCAGTTGTTTTTTCACCATCTCCATGGCCGTATGATAGGAAGGGTTTAGGGTGTTCAACTGTTGGTTGTTTCCGTGGAGCTGGAGCCGAGAATGGACGTGCTCTCGGAATTTTTTGTTTACGATCTGGTCTTCTCATTCTCCTTTTCTTACCCCATTCTAAAACCTTAGTTTTACCTAAAAAAATATTCATACAATCAACATGTGTAAGAGTATATAACAAGATTACTATACAGCTGAACTTTCAATATTTGTCTTTCATGCAATGTTTATCATAGGCAGTGTACACATCAATCCTGCAGCCACAGCACAAGCCAAGGATCCTATTTAATATTTGATAGAGTTGATTACAAGTTTGAGCAATTGGTTGCCTCAGAGCTATTGATGATTGGATTGAAATGAAAATATATTTCTGAAAAGCTTGTTTGCGTAATGCTTAACAGTTTTTGGTTTAATAGAAGTACAAAACGTAAGATTGACAATGGAAACAAATGCTGACCATTACTTTCAAAAGTGTCAGTGGTTAATCAGCTGATAATATCGTCTTTGAGCGGCATGTGTTTGATAATGTTGATGACAGTTGGATGGTTGTATCATAAGGTCTGTCATTGAGTCAACTGGCGTGGTTTCGATTCCCCGGTTGTAAATGACAAGGAGTTGGGTCACTTGTCCAACCATGTGGGTTTTCTCCAGGTCCTCCCACTGCTAAAGACCCCTATGCACAAGCGAATTATTGAAATAAAATTGAACCATGTTAGTCCCACAATGACCTACACATGCAGTTTGTGTCGAGTGGATATTAAACCCTTTTTCTCTCTCTTGATAACGTTGAGAGAACTCTCAATGAAGGGTCGCTTCATTGGACAGAGCCACACCCAATTTTTGTGTGTGTCTGAGTCGACTACAGGCTGCAATTCTTTACAGATCCTTTTGAAACTTTGCATACCTATTCCTTATACCCTACAGATGATCCTATTGTTTTTGATATAGTATTCCTTATAGCCTAAGGACGGCAACTATTTATTTTGGTGCGTGTCCCGACTCCTAGGGGCAGAGCCACGCCCAATTTTTGTGTTTATCGTATATTGGCTGCAATTCTGAATGGATCAACTTCAAACTTGGCATCCATGTATCATGTATGTATTCCTTATAGCCTAAGGGCGGCAACTATTGATTTTGGAGCATGTCGCAACCCCAGGGGCAGAGCCATGTTCATTTTTTTGTGTTTACCGTCTGAAGGCTACAATTCTGAATGGATTATCTTTGAACTTATTAATATTTTATCTGTAAATAAACTACAGGTTGCAATTATTAACATATCTGGATCCAATTCAGTACGATCCATCATAGAGTTGTATCTATTTTTATTGGTCCATGTCCAACCCCCAGGGGCAGAGCCACGTTTTTTGTCCACAGACTGGCATTCTGAATCTGAATGGATCATCTTGGAGAGAGAGAGAGAGATTGGGTTTAAGAGAGAGATGGAGTTTAACCTTCACCCACATGGTTCAATTTTATTTCAATAATTCGCTTGAGCGTAGGGGTCTTTAGAAGTGGGAGGAAACCCACAAGGTTGGACAGGCGACCCTACTCCTTGTCAGGTACAACCGGGGAATAGAAACCACGCTAGTTGACTCAATGGCAGACCTTATGATACAGCGCGCACGTGCTAACCATTCGACCATCCCCACCACCCCCGGCTCATCTTGGAACTTGGCATATTTATTCCTCATACCGTAAGAATAGCAACTATTTATTTTGGTGCATGTCCCAACCCACAGAGGCAGTGTCACACCCACTTTATTTTAAAAAGTACCATATCATGAATAAAAGCAGGAATGTGGACTAGATTGCATCGATTGCGATGCTCTCATTTAAAAGAATATAGAGATGTGCAACATCTTAAACTAAATGGTAGATTATTACATAAAACAGGGGCTTGAAAACTAAAAGAATGCTATCCATAATTTTTTGAAATGACATTCTTAAATTAATTTCATGGGCATAAACATTTTGTTTTAAGAGGAGTTACCTCCCTTAGACATTTATGATAATGTAATAGACCGGATTATCTAGCCAATTTTTCTCAAATGTTGACAACGTATCCAGACTAATATTCGTAGAATATTTTTCTGGATGATAGAGACTATGTTCAACCTGGAGTATATAGAAACCCTGTGCAAAATAACAGACACCAAAGGTTTTGTACCTAACAGAATGACAGACACCTAAGTCTTATTTGCCTGAAAAAATCCCAGTTTGTTAATGACAGGTGGCTTATAAGGAATAAACTTAAATATCGATACTTACCAAAATCCAACTTTTCAATGTCTTCTACAACAAGTTTTTTGACTTTGTCTAAATAATTTTGGTCATTCGAAAATTCTTTCACATCCTCAGATTTTGGTTTTATTTCCTTGTGGTGTGATTCTGGACATTCAGGTACTTGACACTGTTCATCGTTCTTAATTTTCAGTTCCTTTAGTTTTTCTTGAGTTCTTTTTAATTCTTCTTCTGAAGTTGTATCAGAATCATCCCATGCTATAGATGTATGTGAATATTGTTGGTCACGACGCCTGTTACGACATTCTAAATTGGCTTCATAAATTGGGATGTGTTTGGTTAATATTGTCGGGGAAAATTGTTTTTGATATTCTGATTTTTTGACAACCATTTTAATTTATCTTTTCTCGAAAAAAACTCTGCAAACAAAATATAAGGTGTGCATGTATTATTAGAGTGAGATGGGTTTAATAATTGACTGCCTTATGGAAAACGAAACTGCAAAAATATCACAAGATACAGCAGTCCCTCTATATTTTATTTTATCTTAACTCTAAGCTCCTTTAAAAGCATAATTGCATCTTTTACATATCATTTAGATAGTTTACTAATTTACCTACGAAAAAACACAATACATGTAAATGGTAGTATGTAGGGCTTGACGATAATTTGAAATTTTCATTATTGCGATAACTGTATAAAAATCCACACTAAGAGACCAGATTTAGAAAATCAAAATCAGTAATTGTTGAAAATCAGTACGATTATTTTTCTCTTGAACATAACACTGTGTATTAATAAAGCATCAATCAAATAATGACTTTATTATTGCCTCAGCTGTGGAGGACGGAACGATGACAATGAGTCGTGGCATTTCATTATGGGCGTATAAAAATTATTGTTAGTAAAATTTACATATTGAGATTAACTGATTTATTGAAATTATTATTCAGCTCTTGTAAAGCACAAACTAAATGAAGATTTATCGAATATCAATTCGTATATGTATGACGACCATCTGATTAAACATATTGTTCAGTCTTAAAGTAGGCAAAATATCATCCACAGTCTTCGACATTGCAAACACGACTTATTGATCAATTTAAATCCACATTGATGTTGTTACATGTATCTTACTGTAAAAAGATGGGCTTCTGATATCCAATATTTAAAGGAGCTAAATCGCTAATATTTGGGACCGAGAAATTGACACAAATGGGTCGCAACTCATATGATAATGTAATATGAATGTATATAAACTGATTTACATTCAATCGTGTCTGTTTTAACTGTAATTTCTAATCAGTTATGTTCGGCGAAATACGCCAGAAGTCTCAATCAAACAGCAATCTCTAGCCATAGTATCTAGGGGCGGATCCAGGAATTTTTGCAGGAGGGGGCTTGCCAGGTTCCCGAGACAATGTATCCTCCCCCCCCCCCCCACACACGCATTGCCTCTATCGTCATTATGGTGTATATACACACACATTGAGCTTTTTAAACAGAGAAATTCAACATCTCGTTTGACGTCAATTTTTATTATGAATTAATACAATGACATTGTGATTCAATTTCATGGATGCAAAGCATCAATTGTGATATCACATAATGTCTATATCATTATCTCGCGCTTTGAGTGCCAATCCTGTCCCACATCTGACGATAAAGGATAAAGCACACGGTATAGAAACAATTCTCATAAAAAGTTTTGATTTACAAAAAAATTTTATGTAGCTGAGCTGGGGGGGGGGGGGTCGACCCACAACCCCCCCCCCCCTCTGGATCTGCCCCTGGTATTTATGGCGCATGCTCTACAGATCAGAATTTGGCGTCACCGTTTGACATGACTCGTGGAATATGTCTAGCCTCGTTCTCTGTGTCCCTTGTTACAAATCGCACTAAAACGCATTATGGTACATGATTCATGTACCAATGGTATTTGTTTAATTTGTCTTAAATATTGGATATCAGAAGCCAACTTTTCCCGGTTAGATAACATCAATGTTGATTTAAATAGAAAAATAATACGTGTTTGCAATGTCGAAGACTTTCACTTTGCATGATTTTTTAAAAAGTTCTATCTTATTAATCTTCTTACTGTCACTCTTGAAATGTCTTAGCCTTACCTCAAAACGTAACTGAATATCTTAAGTGGAGGTATTTACCAGTGTGACAAGCGCTACTAGTACAATACTTGAAACCATAAACCTTATCCAAAATTCACGAAGAAAGGTGTGATGAAATTAAGTACCTGAATGAACATGTTCTGGTAGTTTTCGCGCTACGAATTATCACCACACTGTCTAATCCAAATGTTTCAAAAATCGGAAATTAGCTAAAGACTAAATTGGTTGATATTTGCTGAAATTCTAAAATGTCACTTACCTCTCTGGTTGCCTAAGCAACGCGTTTCACGAAAAGAGAAATTGTTGTCATATCAAACTTTGTTTCAATTTGGCAGGTGCTTGTTGAGGCGCCATCTACATCAGGGGACACAACTCAATGTAATGGACTAGTGATCCTTTCATTATTGACTTCATTGTTAAATCAATGCCATTCCACGGTTTATAACGAAAAAAATAAATAATAAAAAAAATGAGACATGTATGTTTTATGAAATAAATGTATGTTGTATTACATAAATAAAATAACGTATGACCGACTGAGTTTATTTTGATAATTTATCATTTTATCAAACAAATAATGTGATCGTTGTTATAAATCGTCGTTATCGTTTCGGGTGATCGTTTAATACAATGTTTTTTTGGTAAATAAAAGTTATTATAGACTGAATTGACGTTTGTGTTCATCCATTCCTTTACACTTATCTCCGAGTCCGAAACGTCACCTACCCGAGTCCGAAACGTCGCCTACCCGAATCCGCATGTAATCGTATAATCAGGGCCGGATTAACAAATGGGAATGGGGCCTAGGGGCCAGGGCCTCCGAATTATGGGTCCCCCACAAAAAATCTCAGTTGTGTAATCCGACGATGCCGCGTGGTACATTTGACTGGTATCCGTGTGTCTTTTTTTTCTGTTTATTTAGAAGGAAAGGTGTTTCAAGAAATCGCATTAAAATTCTCTTTAGCTGCAATATTTGGGTTACAAATTGTTGTGCTACTTGGAGACGGAATCAACGTAACTTTGAACTCATTTATATATATTCGAGTTTTGAAGGCAGATTCTGTCAAAAAATTGCATTGCAACGTTGGTTTCTAGACTCGTATCATTTGACCATTAGCCACAATACTATTTTACTATAATTAGTTGATAATTTGGTGTGTATTATAAGCCTATGTGTAATTTCAGTATAGACAATTACTTACGATATTTCGCGTTTTGGCAACAAAAGACTTTTAAATATGGATCAGCCGCGTTCAACGTTCATCAAAAATCGTTTCCGGTCGGTTATTCCGGACATAACTAATGGTCCCTCCTTATTTATCACTGCTCGACTTCAAATTAGGTTTAATGTAATTACATTCATGTGTGTGGAATAATACTGTCTAAGTTCTGGTCACTTGTGTTAGGTCGCCCCCTGCCCCCAACATGCTCAAGGCCCCAGAGCCCCACATTGATTAACCCGGCGCTGCCTATAATATATTTTTGAGCATTCCGATGATCTTAATCTTTATTACCGCAAGGGCCATGGATAATCCAGGAAGTTATAACGGTCAGATAAGCACAAGTATTGAAAAGCACCCAGATCTTTGGGATATAAAAATACCTTTAAGTTTCATCAAAATTATCAAGTTGCCCCAAGTATTCTTGTCTGCGATATCACCTCGGTGGAAGCGGACGTAAAATACAACTAACTCACTCATCAAAATCGGATAGAAATTGTGATCTCTAGAGGATCCTCAACCTTGTATTATATACTAATTGGGCCACAAGTACTCTTTTTACCGGGTTATTGCACGCAACTAATTATGCCGTTAGAAACAACGAGTGATTTTAACACGGAATTGAGACTTCTAGAACGTAGACTTTCAGAAGAAAAAACCCTGTTATGCTCTATACTGATCATTGGGTTGAGAGACCCACAGTTGCAATCAAAGACTTACGGGCTCGATGAATGTAAATTGGACAGAACTTGAATTGTCCCCCAAAATAATTGCGGGCTATAGGTGGTGGTGCGAGAGGCAAAGGAACAGAGCTTCCCACGTACGACCATACCGACCACACCCCTACCCCAAGTAAAGATAATTTGGACAATTTCTATGTAACGCCTCACTGGTTTTTGCAAAAATAAAATTAATTGTCAGACCATTTATGCCCCTATGTTTAAAAATATAAATAGATATTTGAATAACGTCCTTGTTGAATAAGTATGCCAATAAAAATACATAATATAAAGAAGACGATGAGTGAATGTGTATAACATCAACGATAAATATATTCATTATTTTTACATTTGGAGCATGACGTAATTTTTACATTTTTTAATAACCAGACGCCTTTTAGGAAGGGTGTTTTACGTTTCGCCGGTGTCCTTTTATCAAGATAAATCTAGCAATATCAGATAAATCTATACATCATAAGCTCCATGAATGTTTTGAAATTTATCTGCAGCAAACGCGTATCCCGTGAATACAGATACTTCAATGTGGTCCAATATAGCCTACCTTAAGTGATTTACCTAAATCCCAAATCCCAAACAACCAATCAATCGTCCCCGAGAAAACTTTGAAAAGTTAACCGCCGCAAATGCGTTTTTTTTCTGTTTTTCTAGCCCGTAAATTAAGCAACTAGATGAAATATTAATTTTTGTTTTCACTTTACCCGTGTGCCCGAAAGTTTCTCGCACTCTGTCCCTGTGTCCCTTATCTATCAAATTATTCACTGCTATCAGTTATGACCAGTTCAAACAAGTGTTTGCCATGTAAAATACGCCCACATTTTCCAAGAAATGTATCGGGAAGAGGTAAAATCAATAGGGCTCATCCTTTCATTCAAGATCTTTTGATCCTTAAGTTTCATCTGAATCGGACAACAATTGAAGCCTCTCTGGGCGGCCTATAAATTCATACATGTTTTACATCTTGCGTAAAAAACAGCGGCTATAGCTCTAGAATGTGAGATATGCTGCGTACCAACTTTTGGTCCTTAACTCATAGTTTAAGTTTCATCTCATTGTACAAAAATTGGAGCCTCAGGAAGGTCCACAAACTTCATTCATATTTCACATTTTGCTTAAAATAAGTTAAAAGGCAGATGGCCAATGCCCACCAAAATTGAACTCATCCAAGAGCTAGTGATACTCGTTTAAGTTCATAATCGGATAAAACATAGATGGTCCACAACCTTGGTATTACATGCTTTTATATACTGTGTAAAGAAGAGTCGTGGCCATTTGACTGAAAGTTTCAGTCCGATTTTCAGGAAATTCATTACTATGATGTAACAGTGATACATTTGAACGGTTTTGGAAATAATATAAAAATGGTGACCTCTAGAGGTTTCACAAGCTAAAAACGTAATATTTCGTAAATTAGGGGGTCATAATCCAAGAAAGCTACGGTACAATACGTGCCAATATCGAAAGGAGCCTGGGCTTTTAGGATATATCAACATTGGATGAAAATTCGAACCTCTGGCCCACAACCTGGGTACTACATGCTTCGTAATTATGATGCAAAAGGGATATATTTGAACGGTTTTGACAATCAAATAAAAACTGGGAGGTCTAGAGGGTCCACAAGCTAAACATGTCGAGATCTTTCGGTTATAAACATACATTTTCAGTTTCATTAAAATCGTATAAAAATTATGACCTCTATAAAATGTCCACAATCTTTGAATTATTATTGGAATTATTATGCATATATTTGTCAAGTTCAGCATCACAGAAAGCCACCGTCGAATGCGCTTGCATGGTAAGGGATTTAGAAACATCGCTGAGTAATTTCATTAGCCCAGGGGCGTATAATAACGATTTTGTTTGGGGGGGTGTTTAGCCAAAATGCGACCGACTGATTCCCATACCCCTAGTACGAGTGACGCAGTCAGGAGCCGAGCACCACAGGTGCTAGTTTTGTAGGGGCCATGTGCAGAAGCGGATCTAGATAGGGGTGGGGGGCAAATCTAGGGCGCCACCCTAGCCACAATCCCACCCCACAATGAATGTCAACAAAATACTGGCTATAACATTAAGTGTTCCGGTAGAACATAGATGATATTGTATAATTATATAGTTGTTTGCCGATCGTTGTCTCGCCGGAAAGCAGTTTTATTTAAGTTGACATAAAGTTTATGTCATATATGATTGTGCCTATAACACTGAGCAACCTGAGAAAATTTTGAAAAATTGAGTCAATATCTTGGCATTTGAGGTCATTGCTGGGAGAAATTCTTGTGGACGAGAGGACCAGAAATGTGAATCAATTAGACAAAATCTCGAGATCTGCCCCTGTCAATTCCGCCTGTTTTGCAAGAGTTGACAGAACTTTTGTATAGTCTGACGCCCCACGACCCACACACCAGTGGTACTACTAATATAACTGGGCAGTTCACTATAACCGTGAATATGATAGTGCTGAGACAGTATAAGACAACAGAGGAGTGGAAGAATGATGTTATAATGGAATCGAGCGCCGCAGGCACGAAAATATTTCAGATGTGTAACCGAGCTTTTAATTTTTGGGACTGGGCCTGACAATTTTAGTCAATGTCATGGCAAATGGATCCTCGTTAATGAGAGGATAAGAAATGGGACAGAATCTTGAGGCCTATCTGTCAATGTCGCCTGTGTTGTGAGAGTAGAACTAACAATTCTACAGTCTTTTGACCCACGACTCACTCACTAGTGGTACTACTAACTGGGCAATTCACTGTAACTGTGAATATGATAGTGATGAGATAGTATAAGACAGAGAAGGAGTTGAAGAATGATGGCATAATGGAACTGAGCGCAGATAATATCTGAGCTTTTAATTTTTGAGGACTGGGCCTGAGGGCACTTTACCTCAATTGGGCACTTACTTGGTCTCTGAAATGCCCTGGACTTTGGGGAGAGATTTTGCAGAATTCTGGTGGTCAGAAAACACCCCATTAATTCATTTAGTCTGAGACCGACTGCGGTGAGCACTTTTTTTTTTGAGACCGAATATTTTTTTGCCATGGGGTGAAAAACATTTTTTTCAAACATGATAAGTTGACAAGGTTATTTTATACTAAAGTTTTGCGTGAGTAGCGTGACGTGTGCAGTGAGCACTTATTTTGATACCGACTGCTCAAATCTTACGACCGACTGCACTGATTTTGCGACCGACTAGTATTTGGGATCTATTCTGGCATTATTTGTTTACCTCATTTATTCATTAAGACGGCGATGCATAATTTTGAGACCGACTGCAGTGACTGCACTTATTTTGAGACCGACTATTTTTCTCCCTGGGGGAAATTTTGTTCTTAGACCTACATACTCACAAAGTTATTTTATACTAAAGTTTTGGGTGAGTAGCGTGACGTGTGCAGTGAGCACTTATTTTGATACCGACTGCTCTTATTTTGCGACCGACTATTTTTTTTCCTGGGGGGGTCCCCCCCCCCACATTTACGCCCCTGCATTAGCCAGAAAGCGTCTCTAGATCCCCATGAGCTTCCGGGGCCTAAGCGGCCCCTGGATCCTCGTGACGTGTGCAGTAGCGTGACGTGTGCAGTGAGCACTTATTTTGATACCGACTGCTCTTATTTTGCGACCGACTGCACTGATTTTGCGACCGACTATTTTTTTTCCTGGGGGGGTCCCCCCCCCCCCACATTTACGCCCCTGCATTAGCCAGAAAGCGTCTCTAGATCCCCATGAGCTTCCGGGGCCTAAGCGGCCCCTGGATCCTCGCCTAAAGTCCTAGGAAAGTAGCCCCCCCCCCTCCCATCAAGAATTGCTTCCACCGGCCCTGTATTATGTAAGCCTTCTTATCATTTATAAACCTGTAACGGTAAATCTCTTTGATCTTTGGGGTATATTCTATGCCCGGAATAACTTGAGGTCTGAAAGTCGGGGGCGGCTTTGGATATATACAGGGGAATTTGGGGTTATTCTTGTGAAAGTTTTTCTTTAAACCTGTAACCGGTTATTCTTCCAGCGTAGGGTTTTTTTTCCCATAATAAAACATGATCTTAGGTTTTTCTTATGGGAATTCTGGGATATTTTCATTTTGCGTACATGTAAACATAGACAAATATAAGCAAGATAAAGTCCTCGATGCTGGGGAAGAAAGATTTCAGAAAAATCCCTGGACAGAAAAACCTCGGCCTGCCGGCCTCGGTTTTTCTTTTTCTCGGGTTATTTTCTTCAGTCTTTCTTTCCCCAGCATAACCTCAGTCTCGTGCTTTATCCTACACACAAAGACCAATGAAAAAAATCAGGTGTAGATCTATATGAAAAAAAATCTTTTTTTTTTCTTCTATTCATCTGTTAGTTAACATTTGATAAAGTGTGTGCAAGGATGGGAAAGTAAGCGCCCCCTTGAGACAAAGTCCCCTCATGCACAGTCCCAAAACATTAAAAGCTCAGTTACGTATTTGAAATTTTTTCGCGCCTACGCCGAACAAATTGTTTATGTCATCATTCTTCCACTCCTCTGTCTCATCACTATAATTTTTACTATCATATTCACGGTTATAGTGAATCGCCCAGTTAGTAAATACCACTAGTCAGTGAGTGGTTCGTTAGGCTACAGACTGTACAAATTGTTATGTCAACTTTCACATTTCTTGTCCTCTCGTTCACGAGAATTTGCTCCCATTTGACATGACATTGCTCCCCTCCCGCTTCAGGTTGCTCATTGTTATAGCCACTGCCCAACAAGATCAGTAACAATCGTAATATTAATATGACATGAACTTTATATTTATGTCAACTTGAATAAAACTGCTTTCCGGCGAGATAACAATCGACGAACAACTGTATAGGCAATAGATCTATGTTCTACCTGGACGCTCTGTGTTATTGCCAGTATTTTGTTGACATTCATTGTGGGGTGGATTGTGGATGACGCCGTAGATTTAGACCCCCCCCCCCCCTCCCCAATTCTCAGCTTCTAGATCCGATACTGGTGTTGCAGAATTTTGAAAGTCACAAAATGACTCAGGACCTGGGCAGATCATTGTGTGGATTATCATTACACATTTTAATATGAGAGAGAAACAATGCCACAAACTATTTTATTGTCACACCTTCCAAGTTTATGTTAACTTTGCAATGTTTTTCCCCCACAGAGAACTCACTAGAAAATGTCTCAAATATTTGTGTGCCACACTATGCTCAGCAAGATTTGGTTTGTACCCCTCCCCTTTAAGCACAATCTTGTATTCAGAGCTGAATATTGTTTACTGATCCTAAATATTCATATTCAGTTAAGTTATAGAATATCCTAAAATGAAATCCACCTTGAACCTCATACAACTCATTTATCTGGAAAGTATATGCCAAAAAAACCCAAAAGTACTTGGTGTACACACTGTATATCATAAGCTGATAATATGCTACAGATAGCACCATCTTTTTATGTCAAATAAAGAATCATTTTTCATGGCTTAATTAAGTCACAAAGAATATTAATGTTGAAATAGGAATTTATTTTTGCCAGTACCAATATTTATTTTGTGACAAGCAAACAAGAGGTTTATTGAAATAAATGAAGAAAATCATTCTATCATTCATTTATTAGTATGCATTATATATATAATATTTCTATATATACATTGTATACACAATTACAAATCATTGATAACGATATTATACATAATTACTCAATAAATAAGTCAATAAAAAAGTTATTTTTTTTACAATAATCACTGTTTTTATTTAGAGCTTAACAATTTTTAAAACCAACAAATAAATCCTCATTGAAAGCCTTTCAACTTTGTGTAATTATTATTTTTTCATATAAATCATTATACTTGATAATGCCTAACAAACCTTAAACTTAATTTACATGAATATTTGGATAGTTAATTTGATTACAAAACCTAAAAGCACACATTCTAACAATTGGTCTTTTGAAAAGCTGATTTTAGTGAGAAAAACACTTTGGAATCAAAAAGATAGACTGGCTTGCAAGGCCACTATATACACCCAGCAGCAGCAGCTGCAATGTTTTCCATATTAAATCTAAAATAATTGTCAAAAAATCTAATGGAGCAGGTTTTAACAAGCCAACAGCAAGGCATATATAGACAGATGAGGCATTTAAAATCAATTGCACATTATTTCTTTTTAAAAGAAAATACTCATGATCGAATTCAGAATCAATTAGAAAGCATCAACCAATCAAATTTGTTATCTCTGCTAAGCTAAGCAGAAATTGCTCATCATCAAGCTCAATTGGATTTGTTGAATAGGCTTATTCATCTCATGAAACAGATGATAACTTTAGACTCTTAAGAGTGTCCAAAGGCAATAATGGGTGAAGACAATATATCCATATTTAAATGTTGGCACATAAAAACAACAGTTATATTTTAAAGACATATACTTTTATGGTGTGCCTTAAACAGATAAGTGTGTTTCTAGAAAAGGTTAAATTTATAATTACATGTACTTGGTAAATGTTTTTTTTTCATTAGACAAACAATAAAACTTAATAATAATCACATATAGTGTTGCATCAGTTTTAAAAAAAAATCCTGATCATTAAAAAAGACTATCCAATTATGTGCTTCATAAGAATATCTTCCGGTTTGTCCACTCAAATCCAGTGAAATATATATATATTTTTTTTAAAATTACAGGTTATTGAATAAATAAAATAAATAAAGAGGTGATTTCCAATTTCACTTTGAATAGCTCAATAACCCATTAAATCTTTATTTAAACAGATTTATTAGAACAAAGATAGCTGTACTGTTAGTAGTTAAAACCATTATAGAATATTTATTTTAAAATATTTAAACAGGCATTATGCAAGAGCTAATTCTGCCTATTGCAGGTCTTTCTTTAGACCTTAAATGCTATATAAACTATTAATTAGACATTTTTATTAACATGACAAGACCGTAATCAGCTCTCGGTGCCATCTGCTTGGTCCAATTTTAAACAGATTTGAATCCGATCTACAGTCTAACAGCAAATTGAAAAGGGAGGTTGCCAGACAACAAAACATAGATAGCAGCTAAGTTGTCAGAAAGTCCACATAGGTTGTTTTATATTTATTTTTTCTTTTGTACATTATGGGAGCATCTACATGACATTGAACACTGATCAAGATTAACAATTAATGTCATGATTTTCAAAAATAATCAAATTTGATTGGCTTCTAGTTTTTGCCTGAGCTAACATTTATTACTTTATTATACAAAACATGTACCGGGAATCAAATGATAACTTTAGCTGAAAATCAATAGGATTCTTCATCTCATGAACTTATAAATGTGTATACATTTCAAAATGAAGTGAAATGTGGTTTAACGTCCTACTGTTCTGGTAATCGGAAACTTACTTAAGCCTTTAGAGCATGCACAAGATTTTTAAATCGATGAAGGGCAATATCAACAGTAAAGTTAATCGGATGATAGCTTTAGCCTCAAGAGGACGATGGCAGGGTTGACAACAATACACAACCAATTTCCAATGGGGGTGTATAAAACTGGTCAAATATCTATTCTATCAATCTAACAACTGAATAAGAAGACTTATTTAATAAAACTTACATTAAATACGAAAATAGTTTTCAGAAAAGCCATATTATGTATTGTAATGCAGACATTTTGGCACAGATTTGCCCATTTCGAACACATAAACTTAATGCACAAAAAGATATGATAAAAACATAATAACCATTTGCTCTACTCACCAGTCAGGATGGGATGCAGCAAAAATACTCTATAGAATTTACAGTTATATAATTTTCTCTATAGTAAACATAACATATTTGAAGAAACAGGAAAAAAAAATAATACTTCAGAGTATGTAAAGTAATAAATTATCTCAAATATCAATTAATAATAGAATATTGTTGAATGAAATTCTTCTTATAGTTCTAGTTGTGTATATTTAAATACCATGTGTAATCAAGAATAATCTGTTTAATGGTGACTGTCCTAGAGTTTACATTGTATATAATATTACAACAATTTGAATACACAGGTCAGGTAACGGTCACATACAAATTAGGCTTATCTAACAATAATACATCTATATAGTAAAATATAATACTATAAATAGCACTTTAAGAGGATGAAACATGTACTTGAATAATAAGCAAAAAATAGACAGATAAAGTATGATAATGAACACCTTTTGATATTTTTTGAACAAAATATGAAATTGATATGACATGTTGATCAATCGAATTTTACCAATTGCTGGGAAAAAAAAGTACAGGTTGTTGACATGGTCTACTCCAAAGTTAAATCATGATTATGTCAGTTAACCCAATCTGCATTGACTTAGAAGCACATACATGTATGCAACCTATCTAAATAAATTATTTTTCAACCCTTTAAGCTCCGAGTCTATGCATGTTTAGTGGACTCTACATTAGGTTCCTCGAACCAACACATACATGTGAAGGCTGTGGCCAAAGAATTTATAAGTTCATATTGTGGGCACTAGAAAAACCCATCCCCACAAATCTGGCTATTCAAATTCACAGGGTACATAGCTCTACAGTCTGGGAATATTTATTTATGAAGTATACAATTACAAATGACATAAATTCCAAGTAATTTAACCTTTAATTTTAATTTAACACTAGAAATAAGAGAGATCTTATTTCATCACTTAATATCCAAGTCAATTTGTGCATCATTAATAATAAATATAGAGCATAGAAATGTGATATTCAATTATTTTGTAAGGATAATTTGCCAGACAACCAAACTCCACCTTCAGTAGCTAAGTTTTCCAAGCAATCCACAAAGGTTGTCGCATATTGATTAATTTGTAGGTAATGGGAGAATTCACAAGACACTAAAGAGTTATCAAGAGTAACAACCCATGAAGTAATCATAATCAATTCAAATCTGATTGGTTTCTACATGTAGTTCTTCCTTTGTATAAATTTCAAGTCAATCGGATGTAACTTTAGCCTCTAGGACAGTGGTTCTCAACCTTTTTCTGCGAACAGCACACCTTGAAACACATGAAGCATTGGTGGCACACCTGGCTAAATATATATGGAAAATATCTGAATTTTGCAAAATAAAAACATGGTTAAGTCAGACGGCATACAACTGTAGACAGAGACTAGTCATAGACACTTAGAGTGACTCAAACTAAATGAAGAAAAACACAGCTATGAACTAATCGGTGGATACTCAATTGGGATCACATGATTTTTCACATTTTCTTAGTGTGCCGTTAAAAATTTCGCAGCACACTGGTTGAGAATCACTGCTCTAGGCGCATCCACAAGAAATTGTTGACGCCAAGCGGATGAACAGGTGACAACAATATATGACCACATTTCAATGTGGGCGTATAAAAACTGCTACATAAACATATTGTTAAGTGAAAGGCAATAAAATATGGTGTTTGAATTTGATTTATGAACAAATAAATTGGTTGAATTTAAACAAAATAAAAAAACACACATTTATGCAGACTTTACATAAAATGAGCTTGTAAAATGCATTGCAGATGAAAGCTTGCCTACTTACATGTACAATAAAACAAAATAATTTTCCTGAATGATGACAGATAATAATTGATTACAAATTGAATTAACATCATTATGACATTTTGTGAGTAATGATTTAATAATTGTATATTTTCAACTGCCTTGGACTATACAAACATACATTATACAAACAGTGATTAGATACATTTTGATCATTAATTAAATAGTGGCCTCATAGTTTAAGAATATAGTACAATTTAAACTATGAGAACAAATTAATAATATATAGTTTAAAAATTCTTACTCTTTAACAGCTAACATAAATTCTGCATAATTATGTATCTATTATGCTAATTAACAAATAATCATGCATAAGAATCACAGATTAGTCACATAGGTTTATGTATTGTCATCGTGGATATATTCAGTCAGAAAAAATATATCAATTTTGTGTAATATATTATATATGTATGTCGAACTTTATATAACTTTCAGACATTACACAACTTTCACAATGTCAGGGTATTACAAATTATGTAATATCTTAACTGGATTAAGAGAACCTATACAATGTAGTACCACCAGTATTATCTGAATACAGCTTGTAAATAACATGAGAAATACATTAATTGCATCAATCACAGTCATGCAACTTGCTACCAAAACTTTATCGTTCTCATGACATTTTTCAACATCGAAATGCATGTAGGTTGTAAATGCCAAATAGTACATAGGGCATCAATGGAACTACACAAGTTACTGTTCCCCAAATAGATGTCATTTAGTCCTTCAGGCCCTATGACAAAACTTAAAATATTTTTTCTGATCAAATTATCCACTCCATGCAATATGAACATTGGTGGCAATGATAGTACAGTACCATGTATCTTTAAGAAGTAGATTGGAATTCTATGAGTTTTGAATAACATATACATGTAAGCAACAAAACTGATACTGATCTGCAGCTTAACTTGACATCACAACAATGTGCATATACTCACAATATAGCTTTTATGCCAGGTAAGTTGAATACCATTGTGAATTGTTATTCTTAAAATCAAGATGGTACATGTAAGTTACATTCTATTTTGAGAGATCACAGATTTTGTGAGTTCGGACTAAATGTAGACTTATAACTTGTGAATGTATTATGAAACAGGGCTTACCCAGTCATCTATTTAGATAAACTGATTCAGACAGATCGGCGGTTTTAGATTGATGTAGTGATGTTCAAATAAAACAAAGCATCTGCCATTTACGTAACTTTATCCACAAATGGAGTGGTGATTCCAGGAAATTTTATGATATTCATAGTCAACAGAGCTTTGCTGGGAATTTTATAATATTTAACAAGTACTGTACTTCCATTGTATGGGATGGGTGTCCTTGGTATATAAATTAAGGATTGAAAACTGACTCTACTAGTCAGGAATTATTATCACAGAATAAGATTTGAAATCAGTTTGACAGATTAACAGTATTACTTCTACAGTGCTACAAAACTGTTTACATTTATTCCCTTTCTATTCATTGCTTTATCAGTAAAGGAAGACCATAATGTGAGCACTATCATCATACGTAATGATAAACAAACAGCCTCTATTTTAATTTATAAATGTGACTTAACAGTACTTCTCTGAATTTGTCATGAGTGTTGAATTGGATTTTAAAAAACATTTGATGAAACTTGATTGAAGTCTTACTACAATGGCAACATTCTTCATCAAATGTTTCAAACAAGGATTGATTTTATGATTGTTTGATTTATATAGTGATTTGTGTTTAACTTCTATCTAATGAAAAGGCCTATTGCAATATGAAATTACACAAGTGTAGTTTGTAGAAGTAATACATATTTGTGCTGGATAAAACATTTCTATTTATTAGATATACATATAAAAAATAAATAGAACAAATGTTATAATTGTTATTGCACTGTTATTATACCATACATGTCAACACTGAATCAATAACATCCATTGGAATTCATCTGTTTTTTATCAGTTTCATCCTTCGTGGACCTAAAAAATAGAAATATATCATCTATTGTAATGTTCAATCACTTATAATTTTCCAAACTCCTCTGTATTAACCATCTTCTAGATAAGTTCGGACATTGTCCGACTTTACAATTTGATATTTTAACTCATCAAATTTTCATTTTAATGACATCTGTACATGTACATGTACATGGTAAGCTTGTATGCAACCTGTGTGAATGAGCATGCAGCTAGGCCGAGGATAAATTTTATAGATACAACATCAAAACCTGATAAAATGATGGCCCTTTGTCATGTTCTCCAGTGATTCAATGCTAGGGCAGTGTCAATACAGTTCATTTTCAATAAGATACGTACTGACGATACAGCAAACCAATAGGCAATATGTATAGCAATATGATGACATCACGAATTATGCCCAAAATAATCTCAAACTACATTCTGTTTCAAGATGTTTGAGATGGGTAAGCATCAGGGTTCTTAATCCATTTTGAAACGAACTGGCCAGAATTGGGTCAATTGAGGTCACGTAGGATATGGGTTAATTATAAGCTCCATTCCCTTTAATATAACTAATTCTTTAATATAAATTCTTGGTAATTTGTTGTGGAGAATGTCATATTTTAATGTATGTGATTACCACAAAAATAACGACAGGTACAACTTTGGGAAATTTTCTATATTCAATTCATGTACCAACTTCAGTTCACGTCCGTAATATTCCAGAATAAATTAATTACTGTCTTCGTTTATTCGATGAAACGTTCACGTTTCATAAGTTGATCTAAAATATTAGCATTTTTCAACTATTGTCAGTATCAGAAAATGCTGTAGCCAAAATAAGCTGCTACGGTACCATGGCATTTCTTCATAACACAATTTGTAGTCTTTGTCTATCAGGTAACTAGTCACATAACTTGGCAAAAGTTTTTATTCATTCGTCAATTGATAGACACACGGCACAATTGTCACGTGACAACCATACTTGAAATTGCTTTAAAATAAAAATTCTGTATGAATAAAATGCTAGACCAATTTTGTATTGTTTGTTCTGTATTCCTGTAAATAGCTTCTTTCTGTGATTTGTTGTGCAGATTTCCTGCATTCTTTTATACATCATCAGTTTAACCATGCAGAAAGCTTCATTAGGATTATAGTTACATGTAATACAAGTTATATGTAAGAATAGCAGATAAATATTTATAGTGTGTGAAAGGGTACGTATTTCATAATGCTGCAAAGTGTTTTTATAAATTGGTATCATTAAGTATATCAGAAACTTACCCCTTTACCAGGACGAGCCCATGTATAAACTAAACCTTCTTGACATGCTGTAACTAAACACTCTTCCCGAAATACCAAGGACGTCAGACGTTCTTGTGCAATCTTTTTATATACTAAAGGTTCTAATATGGGTACCTCATCTAATCTCGGACATGACATTGTTCCTAATAATTTAATAGAGTCATCAACTGGTTTCACATGGTTGGACTTCAACATGTTCACTTTGTCAGTATTCCTACTCGCTAAACTAAAATTACGTTTGTGTTCTTTTTTCTCTTGACTTTCCTTTCGGTCTGCCACAGAAAGCGTCGCAAATTTATTGGTAGCATTCATCACTGCATTTTGAATTTGATGAGTGTTAGCGTTACTATTACCTTCTGCGTGTGCAGAAACATCATTTCCTATTGAATTACGCTTCTGTGAATTAGGAAGGCTATTACAACGAGGTAAACAGCTTGCAGAATTAGATAAAGTCGATATACTAGTTCTAGAACGCCCTGCAGATTGTTTAATGATATCTTCGGTAAGATCCCACAAACATAACATTGTATCTTGTCCAATTGAACCAAATCTATAGGAAGTGATGTTTAATCCATTACCATCCAGAGAGTTCCGATTCGAATCAGATCCATTTTTTTGCACGGATTCTTTTGTATGACAATGTCTGGACGAATGATAGTCTTCTTCACTTCCGTTAAAATCACAGCCCATATCATCACAAACACATGATGTGTAAAAATCAAAAGATACCACATTTACCCATGATTTATGGCCTTGTCCCCTACAAACCACCCGTCGTTCATGGAACGACCACACTGTCACTAGATCATCTTCCCCTCCTGTCACAATAAACCGTCCATCTGGCGACCATGACACACACAAGAGACCCCCAAAATAACTCTTCATGGTGCCTATCACTTCCATAGAATTATAATTATAAACCCGAAGATAGCCATCTTGGCTAACAATAGCTAGATACACAGAACATGGGGAAAAGGCAAACTCGTGTATAGCACCTTGTCCAACAATCCAACGATATAAAGGATTTCGGGTACTTTTAGTCTTACAGGTGTATATTGAGAATCCCTCCCCACTTTTAAACGGCTGATAATGCGGAGCTGCAAGACCACATGGCAGTTCTTCATTATATACATACATTTGACCGCTAGCATGGGAAACTAAAAACTGATTTGGAGATTGAGGAATCCATTTGATACATGTTACTTTTGTTTTATCTATCATTCTCTGAAAAATACAGATGTAAAAAAATTAGAAACAATTTAAAAGTAAACTACATATTTTATCTGTTACATACAGTGGACTCTGTCACATCCGATGTCTGATCACTCCGGATTGCTGTGACATCCGACATGATTTTCATGTCCCGATTTATTTCCTTATTACTTCAGCCAAAAATCGCTGATAAATCCGGATTCTGTATCTTCCGGATTCCGACATCAATCAGCCGTCCCGTCACATAATTTCCATTGAATTGACACCGTATAATCCGTACTTCAAACGGTAGGTGTGAAGCATCCAATTATCGGTGAGATTAAAACTCAATTGGTTTGAAGCCAGAAAAGATTAACAAGCAATCACCAATCAATTATCGGTGAGATTAAAACTCCGAGCGCCGGTCTGTGTTGATTACTTTGATAATGTTATAAATTCTTTGTTGATTATTTTACAATTTATAATCTCTTGTAAGAGTGCGCTTGGTATTTGATTTTAGTTAGTCATGTCAAATACCGCGACATTATATAAAAATTGCCGCGATTGAAGAATCATTATACATTATTGTACATAAACATAATACATAAATGTCTGAACGTCCTGCAAAGCGTGCCCGAACAGATTTGACATTAGATGTAAAGCGGCAACTTATAGCAGATTTTGAGAAAGTTCCACGACCGGCGCAGACGGAATTAGCCGTTAAGTATTCAATTGGCCGAGCTACAGTGTCAGCTACAATATAAAAATACTTCCGGTTTTCGAAGTTATAGTATTTCCGGTTTTGGAGAAAGCTTGGTATTCCGACACGCTGTGTGATCCGAAATATTGTAACGATCCCATATGATGTCGGATGTGACAGAGTCCACTGTACATGTATAATACATGTACATAACCTAGTCTTGATCATCCCAGCCCAAATAGACTGAAACCATGTCCGGCACTAAGTTGAAAATGTCAGGTACTATTTCATTAGAGCCTGACATTTTGTCAGGTACATGTACATCTAAAACCTTTATTTCCTGGCCTGACTACTGGTATCATGATGATTAAGACTTCTTAGTGCTTCTTACAATAAATCAAACCCAAATAACCCAGCATTCATCTTGACACCAGATGGTGACAATTTAATGAGAAGATTGCACAATGCACAAACTACATGTACATAAAATATAATGATGTAACATAGGGCTTGCAAAAAATATTGATATTGCTGATATCCGTCGGTAAAGTGTTTTGAAGATCAATAATCGATACAGATTTAAAATATCTATAATCACACAATTATACATGTAGGTAGTCACTTGTGGGAAAAAATCCATAATACATAATCCTTGTCACAATATTCTTTGCAACGCAGGCTTGGACCAGCACAGTGACGTTATTAAACAGAAGTGTTTTTGACCCCAGACGAAAGTGCGAAAGATAGGTTGCCAGGCAACGAAACATACGCCCACAGCAGCTAAATCGTCCGGGCAGTCAACAAGAGTTGTCACATATTGTCTCATGACCTCAAACACTCTGTATCAATTTAAAGTCAATCGGATATTAACTTTAGCCTCTAGAGCATTTACAAGATTTTTTGAAGTGATCAAGGGCCATAACTCTGGCAGTAATTATCGAAAATCGCGGAAAATGAATAAATTTCTTTGTCTCATGACCTTAAACACTGTGTATAAATTTAAAGTCAATCGGATATTAACTTTGGCCTCTAGAGCGCCCACAAGATTTTTTGAAGGGATCAAGGGCCATAACTCTGGCAGTAATTATCGAAAATTGCTGAAAATGAATAGACTTCCTCATCTCATGACCTTAAACACTGTATATAAATTTAAAGTCAATGGGATATTAACTTTAGCCTCTAGAGTGTCCACAAGATTTTTCAAAGTAATCAAGGGCCATAACTCTGGCAGTAATTATCGGAAATCGCTGAAAATCAATAGGCTTCTTGTTCTCATGACCTTAAACACTGTGTATAAATTTAAAGTCAATCGGATATTAACTTTGACCTCTAGAGCGTCCACAAGATTTTTTGAAGTGATAAAGGGCCATAAATCTGGAAGTAGTTATCGGAAATCGCTGAAAATCAATAGGCTTCTTCATCTCATGACCTTATACCGCCGGACGGACGGGGGACACGACAATATACGACCACATTTCAATGTGGGCGTATAAAAAGTAAAAATGCCAGCGCTAAGAATTGTTGGACGCTTATGATGAAAGCAAATAGTTCCTCATGACATAATGTAAATTGAAATTATATAGATCTTTGTCGTAGTGACCAAGAGTCAAAACGTGAATTTAGCCATCATACAAGGCATTCTTTACGCATGAGAAATCACTGCGAGAAATAAACTGTTACTTTTCAAAGAGAATAACTACATTTTACTCATTATTTTTGTCCTGGTCATAAGCGAGAAGGATAAGTCAATCGTTGACGAAGCTGATTGAGTTTCAACACCTTGTCTTTGGTATGTAAGGCTATTATTTTATCATGCGATTATTGATAACCGCATGGTTGGTACATGGTGATTATCAATACTTGAAAACAGTATCGATTGCCAGCCCTGATTACAAGGTTATATATTATGTGTACACATTATAAGACATATTTTGCAGTTGTCTAAATATATTCCAGTATTCTTGTTTATAAAAATGCTGGATTTTTAACTTGACATAATTACATAATGATGAGGTATTATTATCTTACTTCTGTAGTTTCATGGTTCTACACCTGCATGTGCCTAGGAGTAGAAAAGGGGGGATTGGTGATATAATATCCACCTGCGACCTCTCATTATGATCTCACCCAAATACCAAGAAACAAGTTTCCATCGTTGAAATTAAAGCCCTTAAAATATGAAAGCTTATGAATAAGATGTGTTTAAGTAAAACAGGACTTGCCTCTTCATTATAAAGTTTACTAATTTCTTTCTTTATTGGATCTATAAGTTGAACTTGACCAGCAGTAAATCCAACCAATAATAAAACACTATCAGATGTAACATAATGTTGATTAAAATCGTGACATGTAGGTAAAGTTCCTTTATATATTCTTTTATCTATTGGTTTTGTTAGATCTACAGCCTGAAAAACAACAATACTTCTCATTAATTATGTATGTACATTCATGTCTATAATAATAATGTACTTCATTTATACATACAATATACCTAAGCACTTTGTACATAGATTTCTTGAAAAAGGTTATGAATTAAAGATAGGTTCCTAGAAAAGTATTTATCGGGTGGTTATTTCCAATAAAAGTATGACAATTTTTGTAAATATGGAAAGTAGAAATATCCAATCTTACTAGAAAAATACTGGATGCCCTGAAAAACACTCATGGAGCGCATACAGAACAAAAATGTAAGGGTTTCCTTAATCGACAGTCCGACGATTAGGAGCGTCTGCACGCGTGACAGCAAACGTTGCACACGGAGATTGAGCGCTTGATGTACATAACTGATAAACTTATGAAGAGTTAGACGTACAACACTTTCTGATATAAAAATCACAGAAAAAGACACGGGCAGTGGATAATTCGAAAATTTAAGGATACATTATGTAAGATTTAGATAAAGAGCTAGCCATTTTTGCTATAATACTAATAGTTCGATAATGTAAAATGAATAATTTGAAAATTTCATACAAATTAGTTAATTACCCTATTGCGATCGAAGATATTAGCCTTTAAAGGTTTGACAAGATGTGTGCAATAATTTCAACCACCATACTGGTTGTTCGTAGCTAAGTCTCGCTCCTCCATTTTTAGCTTAAATCAAAATATGGCTGAACTGTTCTAATCTATTAAATATCAGAGAAATCTGATGCCATCGAGAGTTGATTATGGCCTGATAAGTTAATTAATGTTAATGTCTATTTAATTAATAATTTAGAAAACATTTCAGGCCTAAAGAAAGAACTGCAATAGGCAAATTTAGCTCTTGCATAATGTATGTTTAATAAGCCTTCGATATTTGTAATAAATAGTCAGCTATTAAAGACAACATTATCTTGTGTATGCAATGAATTCTTCTCTGACTTCGCACTCGTTGCTAAGTAGCGAGAGAGAGGTAAGTCACATGACACAAACATGACCTCTTTTGATCGATTTTTTATAGTAAAGGTATTTCCTGACAATTGCAATATTTTGAAAAGGATTTGAAGCAAAATTATGATAAATTAATTAGTTTGAATATCATCAAATCACCCAGTTAGTACACAGGAATGTATCTATAACAATACTTGGCCCTCTATTGTAGTATGAAGTAGTAGAAACTTTTTCATTTTACGAGATGCCCCTGTAGATACATGAAACTATCTTATTACAAATATAGTAAGCCTATACAAAAACTACTTCAAGATATATATGTACTTTGTGTAGTAACTAGTATGTCTATACCTATAAAGTTATATATTTATCTATCATTAATGTTAATATAATCAATTTCTACCCACACTGAATAGAGAAATGAAATGAAATGGGGTTTAATGCCCTACAGTTTTGTTCCAACTGGGCTAATGAAGACGGGCACATGCCATACAGTGTGCTACGAGAGAAATTTGGCCTGGACAGCGGCGCTACCGTCTACTCTTACATCCAATTCCAACTGCCAAGGGATCTTTTACGTGCATGCCAATGTGTACATGGGACCTCGGTTTTTTGTCTCATCCGAATGACTAGACAGCTGTCCTTGTCAGGCCCTCCGCCTTGCAATATAAGAGTAGACCATAGCCCCGCTGTCCAGGCAAAATTTCTCATAGTACACTGTATGGCGTATGCCAGTTTTCATTTGCCCAGTTGGATCAGAACTGTAGGGCATTAAACCCTATTTTATATCCTTTCATTTCTAAAACCAATCTGAGAGATGAGTCTTATGTATATGTAGGTTTATTTTCACATTGTTCAGACAATATTTTTGTTATTTTTGCCAACATTTACTTCTTCACATCCGGGAAGTCTTTGGTGGATCTAAATAAATAAATGGCTTGAATGCAGAGCTTGTACATGTTCAATGTTGAATCCTACAATGTTTCTACAGATTCTGGACAATATAAATAATTTCATGATTATACATGTACATGTATAATATAGCTTGCTGAAATTCCCATAAGAAAGATATAACATTCTATATTTTTATCTTGTTCTATATCTAGCTAACTTACTGATGTGACCTACATGTAGGGTACTTTTATCATCAAATTTTCATTCATAAACATAGTAATCTGAGTCTGTCACTGACCTAAATGGTGAAAAGCTATGAAACAAATTGAATTTCATGTCCCAATGAATTAGCAAAATGTCTAGGAAATATTACTACAGACAATACCATCTCTTTGTAAATGTATAATCTGAATTATTATACAGTTATTAATTATAACGATACATTATGGGAGATTCGATAACGAGTTGGCAGTTCTCACTATAATGGTTAAAAACTAGATAATGTAAAGGCAATCTGCTGAAAATTTCATTCAAACTGATCCACTATGAACCGAGAACCAAGAGATTGAAATTTCCGTCTAGCCTCGAACATCATTACTAAAGTCAGTACGATAAACAGCATAGTCTCGATTATCCATTTAATCGTTAAATCGTGAAGGAAAGTTATGCAGTAAATCGGTTCATAATCCACTAAGGATCGCAGGCTAGCGATGCCATCCAGAGTTGATTATGGTCTGGATAGGTTAATTAATGTCTAATTAATAATTTAGATAACATTTCAGGCCTAAAGAAAGACCTGCAATAGGCAGATTTAGCTCTGGCATAATCAGGGTTCCCGCGGCTTCGTCAAACATTTTTTCAAGGATTTTCAAGGACATTTTTTAGCCTAAAGTTACAATTTTTCATCTTAAAAATAACCAAAACATTACAACTATCATTATAAAACTTCTAATCTAAACGGGATTTTCATATCAACTTACTATTATTACCAATTTGAAACAAAATTAAGGATCTCATTTCAACTGAAATTCAAGGATATTTTCCTATTTCCGCGAAATTCAAGGATATTCAAGACCTTGAAAATGAAATTTTAAATTTAAGGATATTCAAGGATTTTCAAGGACAGCGGGAACCCTAATAATGTATGTTAAAAGTTTCGAGTTCATCATTATTATTAGGATATATCCTGGGGCAGCGTGTGTGCGTGTGTGTGTGTGTGTCGGTGTGTGTGTGTGTGTGTGGGGGGGGGGAATTGGTTAACTCTACGACTGCATTAAAAATTAATGTTGAACCTATGTTATAACCCATACATACAAATTTTCATGTGACAACATGAACATGTCACATAAAAAAAAGTATTGTTAATTCTCACATATTGACTCTCTGGATTTTGTCATACTTCCTATTTCAATATCTAGCTGACACAGACTATGTTCAATTAAGTGTGACAATCATTATTTCCCTGATATTTCCATTTGGTCATTTCTTGTCACTCATTGTCATTGACATTGTTGTCATTGAGTCTGACACACAGAATCATCAGTTACTGAGTTAGGGTTACCCCCCCTTTTAAACGTTGCAGTCATAATAAGGTGACCGCCGGTCCATGTCATTTAGGACTTTCGCAATAAATAATCTATTTAGGATATGCATACACATTTCAAACTCACCTTTTTTACCCCCTTATAAACATAAACATACAATTCCCTACCAACATTGAAACATATTCGATCCGTTGCGGAACCATTACCGTCATTACTTTTGACAAATGACACTTTTACTGGGGTATTAGTTTGTCCGTTGTATGCTACACGAGAGGGCTTTGAATATTCAGATAATGGCATTAATTTATAAGTCCCTTCTCGAGTACCAAAATGTGTTTTCAGTTCATCCTTGCTGCCACCCTCACTCGGGGCCGCCATGTTGATTTTGCTTGGCTGCGACGGCTTGTAAGATGCCCGGATTTTCCACCAAGTGCGCAAACTCACTACATCACTTCCTTAATGAATCAAAACAAAACCACGTGTTGTTTTCCTGACAGATGTGGGAAATGAAATTGGGTTTAACGTCCTGCTGTTCTGCTCCGACTGGATTAATGAGAGAGAGAGAGAGAAATGGGGTTTAACGTCCACTCGACACAAACTAGGTCATTTTGGGACTAACATATGGTTTAATTTTATTTCAATAATTCGCTTGCGCGTAGGGGTCTTTAGCAGTCGGAGGAAACCGGAGGACCCGGAGAAAACCCACGAGGTTGGACAGGCGACCCTACTCCTTGTCACGTACAACCGGGGATTCGAAACCACGCCAGTCGACTCAATGACAGACTTTATGATACAGCGCGCGCACGCTAACCATTCAGCCATCCAACCCCCCGACTGGGTTAATGAAGACGGGCATAAGCCATGCAGCAGTGTGCTATGAGAGGTAAATTGTGCCTGGACAGAGGCGCTACGACCTACTCCTAAATCAAATTCCAACTGCCAAAGGATCTTTACGTGCACGCCAATTACACGAGACCTATGTTTTTGGTCTCATCCGAACAACTAACCTGCTTGACGGACTCTCCCTCCATCCTGGACAAATGTGGGAGTAGGCGTGCCAATTATTGGTCAGCACATGCATGCACCACCGTATTTAATGTACCCAATATATCCGCGAATGTCTAAAAATATCCAATCGATCCGAAACTCATAATGTACGTTAATCGGCTGATTCGAACCAGATTCTTGGCTCTTTAATTCGGACCATTATTTGGATGGCAAGGGTATTTAAAATGTGTTTCCAGATATATAATAGACTAATATGATAAAAATGACAATAAATAGTAGGCCTATAATTAGTTTAATCTTTATAAGACATATATAGATTTCACAAATTAAAATAGCTACATATATGGATATACTACCGGTAGGCCTACTTCTGAATTACTAACATGCTACGTTTCAATACAGATACATGTATCGTTATCAAGCAAATAATGATTTTTATTCGTCCACTTCCACCTTGGGTGATATCACAGACAAGTGTTTCCGGAGAAACTTGCCAGAAGAGCTAAATAATATCCATCGTCTAGCATAGGGAAATGATTTTAAATTGGTGTGTGTGAAATAACTTTATTTAACGTCCACTTCCACCGAGGTGATATCGCAGACAATTACATGTTATATATACATAGTGAAATATTTACAATGTGATTAGTGGAAAAGGGATAATTAGTTTTTTTATATATATATATGTGTACAGAAGACAATAGATAACAGGACGAGACATGAGATAAATTGGGTGTGAAATAGCAATATATAGATAACACTTATCCATTTAGCAGATAAAACAATAACCACGGGGAATTAACAACATGAAAGAGATTACAACATAAAAGAAAGGAAATAAATAGAAACCATTCACTAATTAGGGATTAAGTAACTAGGGAATGATTACTGAAAATGTTCTTCTTGCGATTGACGATTTCTCAATATTCCAGGTCACACAAAACTCCAAATACCCCAATGCTACCCAATATTACCATAGCCTATCATCAAAAAGTTGCATGCCAGTATAATTTACTGCAACGCATCTGCGATACTGCGATAAAGTGTTTTGTGTATTCCTTCGTTCCTTGGGGCTTTAAGTCCGCTTCCACCTTGGGTGATATCGCGTATAATATTTTAATCATTATATTTTGTGAGTGTGAAATCAAACAACTCTAAATAATTATTAAAATATGTACCGTATTATTATATAAGATGGCCATCAGTCTGATCATCGTATTCGGGGTTTTGGATGTGCGGTTGAATATGTTGTCGATATGTGGCTTCCATATTAGCCATGAGTCGAAGGTCATGCCAGGAACTTTGTCTCTGATTTAATTTCTAGTTTTGTGCTGTTGAGGTTTAATTCAAGTTTTATGTTGCTATCAATCGGATAGAACGGCATCGCTATCGTCTTTCCTTCCAATATTTTGTATCCCAAGTCATTTGTCCATTTAGAGATTTGATTAAGAATATAATGTCTGCGAAGAGTACCAAATCGGCATTCCAATCATTTATCATGATATTGAAAACAGCTGGGATAATGACGGAACCTTGAGGTGATCCATTTTCCATTGCGAATTTTGCGTTCATGCATAGTTTCCTACACGTACTCTAATGTTTCTATTGTTTGGAAACTCTTCAATCCACCTATGCATGCGACCTTTGATTTTCGCTTTGCAAAGTATTTGAAAAGTTAAAAGCCTTGGTCAAATCTACGAAAATAGAACATATATCATTTTTTCTGATATTTATAGATGCTGATGAATGTAATCTAACCAAATAGTCGAGACCGGCCTGATCTAGTAAGTGTTGAAAACAGTACACTGAATTGGCTGACAAATGTGTAAAACTGTGCTAGCAATATACAGAAATACACATTCAACAAGTTAATTAAATCACACTTACATGACAAAGGTATAAAAATAACTCAAGTAGTATTATACAAGAATCTATAAATCACACCCCCAATCATTGTTATTTAATGACCAACGTACATTGTACTAATCTTATAAACAATTAGACACCCATCCAATAAGACATTACCTAGTAGATCCGAGTAATTTTCATTTGTGGCCAAACATTATTTTTTAAACAAGGTTACTGCTTTGTAAAATACAACCATGAATGGCCCTTATCGGGGCAACCCACTAAAAAAGATTTACATTCACATTCTAATCTGAACCCATCTCAATAAAACAATACACCGATCTTTGTACAGGCCTCAATTAGGTCCCTATTTTTTACCTTATCACATCTAACAAATTTCAAAATGGGGAAAATGAATAATATTTGTTATCTAACTTAGGATGGTTAATAAGCTTTCGGTTTCCATTATGTTTTTGAAGTACACTAGATCTGATAATTGTAGCATAAAGAGGCCATATCGAAAGTTGGTGAACGACCTGATAATGGTTGAATTTGATTGGTCATTTGAAAGGACATGTCTCATAAATATAATATAGGCTTTATGGACAAAGCTCACCAAATATTTCTACGCCGTCACAATGTAGGGCAAAAGTTATTTTTAGTCTTTCTCTCCCTTTCCCTTTTTCATGGCGATTTTTGTTGACTTTTTGGTGTAGAATCGAAGAAAAGGGTTTGAAAAAACATTTTCTACCAGGTTTTGGTGAATATTCATGATTTTGAGGCGGAAGGATACAAGAGTTGAGAGGTTGGTTAGGTTGAAATGTAGGGTCCAAAATTGCATGTTTCCTTGTCTCTACTTCCAGCTTGTGTATCTCAAGTTTTCCATGGTGAACCTCGTACGTGCTTTTGGGCAAGAGGTTGCCACATGTTGCTCCATCTGTGGTAGAAAGCGTTCTACCCAACGAAAATTTGGGAAAAAGTTTCTGTCGGTCTAAGAGACGAGAATTAACATTAAAGTCAATGGGCAAATGTTTAGTGATCTGTGGCCATATTAGTAGGACATGTGAAACATGTCTACACAGCCATGTCTCTCGGTTAAAGATATTAAAATACACTCAACGCCATTAAAAACGCAATGCCAAATTTAAAGTTTATTTACTACAACAACTTTTAACAAATGTACATAGCAATTAACAAAATCGAGATAACAAGCATCCGTGGATAATTTCATGAAAGAATCCACTACAAATGCACAAAACCGAAGCGTCAGAACCATGAAACAAAGCAGGGGACAGCTGAAGTCAATATCGGGTATGTCCACCCTGAGCTCTTACACATGCCTGAAGTCACCATGACTAAGACAGGCACAGATGTGTCACTACACGTTGTGGGATTGTTTGCCAATGATTTTGGAGTGCCTTTGCCAACTCTGCAACAGTTCGTGGTGGCACGGCTTGAGTTCGAACCCGTCGTTCAAGTTAATCCCAAAGGTGTTCGATCGGGTTCATGTCGGGAGACATAGCGGGCCAATACATAACACGGACATGATTATTGTTCAGAAAGTCTCTTGTCAACCTGGCAGTGTGGGGTTGGGCGTTGTCATGCTGGAAAACCATCTGTCGACGGACGCCATGTTGAGCCGGACGAAGGATAGCGTCAACATAATGGTGGGCGTTCGAGATTGCCTTGGACCACCACCAACTGGGACCTGAAGTTGACGTTGATAGCGGCCCAAACCATGACGCCACCTCCCCGAAACGACCCCTTTCCAGTACGCAGTTACGAGCAAAGCGTTCACGTCGAATTCGGTAGATACGGTGACGTCCATCTGGAAAACTGAGGTTGAATCGAGATTCATCCGAGAAGATGACATTTCGCCATGGTGTGTTATGCAGATACCCCTGATTTGCTGCCCATTGCTATCTGGCAAGTCGATGACGATGCAAAAGGATTTGACCTTGGTAAGGTCGACGGCAGCGTAACCCAAGAGCAGCCAGGCGCCTTCGGACTATTTGAGGGCTGATCTGACGTTGCCGTGTTCCGACAGATCCCTGGCAGTAGCAGTAGCTGACTGGAACCCGTTGCGCAGATGCTGTAGTCGGGTGTGGCGATCTTGAGCAGCGTTTGTTACAGGTTGCGCTCCAGGTCGGGGTCGATCGACAACTCTTCCAGTGGCGTGGAAGCGTTGTCTGGACTAAGACTAGTAATTATTTCCCCTTATTTCATGATGGACGAATGTAGTGCGAGTTATAAATAGACAATTTTTCCCTTAATTTTTTTCTCCCCTCTTCCTGCATTTTTGGGTTGACTTTTTGGTCTAGAATTGGAGAAAAGGGATCAAATTTGCAATTTCATAGCAGTTTTGGGTAATACTGATGATATTACAGCGGAGGGATAGGGGGTGTAAAGTGTCTTTCTGCAGAGCAATCATTGTGTCGGAAGGCATGGCATTTTTCAGAAGTGATGAATGTTGAAATTTTGATCTGTAGTTAAAGGACCAGAGTGCAGGGAATGCACGTGCAAAACGTGTGACATAGGACTGC